GGGGCTTTTTCGTGCCTATGCAACACAGATTCTCGAGTCATGCCAAACAAGCATGACAAACTTGCATTCTTCCAGACCCAAACACTTCTACAATCCATAAGCCCTATACCCAGTCAATTCGTCCACGTCAAACGCCGCGCCCCAGGAGTTCCGGTCACAGGTCTGGATTAAATCGCATTTATAATCCAACAACGGCATGGAGCCGAAAGCCGCGCCATTGATGTCCGGCTTCAATTTCTTCAAAGGGCCAAACACGTGCCGGGAGTATCAAATGCAAAAATGTCTGGGTCTGGAAGATTCTGAGATTTGTCATTGTCATGCATGTTATTTTGCATGACCCAGGATGTCTGTAATGCACGACCCAGCATCGCAGATTTTTAGGGGGCTTCCTGATGCCTACTCCGCATGACAAACGCCCTCCCCGCGTGGCACAATCTAGACTCCTCTTGCTGGTCATGAACTACAGATTTTTTTAGATTCCAAAGTTAGCATCACAAGTTCCAACCCTTCCGGACCCAGACATTTTTACAGTTGATAGGGAGCACACGGTGTCGAAATGGAATTCCAACTCCGACACCTCCCACCCGTGCCCCGTGTATAACCTGCTCAGGTGTGACAATCTCAAAAGTTACATATAGAATCTAAAACTTGTGTTGCAAAATGCGCAACATCTGGCCTACTCCCACAGGATTGCGCATGACAAATCTCGGAGCCCCAAACCGCACTTGAATTATCTGGCGAAATTTGTATTGCGGAAAGTAGAATGCTCTGCGATTCTGTCATGAACATCATGTATTAGACAAATTCTAGACTCTATTGTAACGCTTGAGATTGTAAAAACACCTGAGCGGGTTATACCGTGAAGTGGTCTTTCGTCGAGTTTGCGAAGATCCGCCACATCGCCTTCTCGAAATTTGGCATCTGGATCCACCGGCCGGGGCCGAACGAATCGTAGTCCTGGATGGGGAACCAGCGGTCGCCGAGGAAGATCAGCGTCCTATGAATTGCAAATATGTCTGGGTCTGGAAGAATCCAAACTTGTCATGCACACTCTGGATTACGCAAGAATTTGTGTTGCATGAAACCAAAAGCCGTCCACTTTTTGCTATGCAAATAGCAAGTTTCCCATGCAGAATAGGCATCATTAGACCTGAACAAAACTTGTAATGCTCTTGCGCGCATTCCAGAGCACCTGTGTGATCCAAAAGATGCATGACAAACTTGCAAACCCTTCCAGACCCAGACATATTTGCATTTGATACGTCCGGAGCCTGATCGATACGGTTTTCGGCGAGTCGCCTTGTATCAAATGCAAAAATGTCTGGGTCTGGAAGAATGCAAGATTTGCCTTGCATATTTCGCATGCCCCATGATTGTCTGTGATGTATGCCCTAGCATCACAGGTTTTTAGAACCCTTCCTGATGCACCTTCCGCATGAGAAATGCCCTGTCCGTGTAGCACAAATTGTACCCCTCTTGCTGCTCATGCAATACAAATTTTGCTAGAATCCAAAAGCAGCGTGACAAGTTGCAATCTTCCAGACCCAGACATTTTTGCAGTTGATACCCTGCCAAATGCGCAATCCGCGGACGGTCGCGAGGGTCCAGCCGTTGTCGCGGAGAGTGATCAGTTGGGGTTTGAACCTAGTGTGTAATCCAATCCGGAGGATCAACGAATTGATCCCCCCATCCGACTCGTCACCCATCGGCCGGTAGAACGTGCTCGTATCGTTGTCAAAAGCGTTCCGGATCGGTTGTTGCGCCCGTCGCATCGCCAAATCGTGCTCGAAGGGTTCGCCGTAGAGTGGTAACGTGCACCCCGTGTCCCAGAACATTTCCAGCTCAAACACCCGCCACTCCTCGACCACCGCGGCGAGATTCGAGACTGCGAAGGATTTCCCGCAGTCCGGCTTCAAAGGACCGTCGTACGCGCTGCAGCCCTCGTGAATGCGGTAGGACTTGGAGTCGAGAAGGGTTTCCTCAGTAAAAACGCCCCCACCCCAATGCTGTCATGCAAATCTGCATGCTCAAAATGTTTCTCATGCGAAGCCCCATGAGAGCCCTTTGCTAGTCGTATTTTGGAACTTGTCCTTGTGATGCTCCAATCAGCATGACGCGCTAGATCTGTCACACTGCTGAACTAGCTAAGTAAGTCGAGGACTACACTACGCGGCCAAACTTGTCATGCACGACAACCCATAAGCTGGTTGATTTGCGTAGCAAATTTCCCATCTTGACTATGGGGTGGGGATGTTTTTACTCAGGATAAAGGGTTTCCTGGGATACACCCGGGGCGTCCGGGTCGGTAGAGAGGGGCGTGGCTTGTTGTTGTTGGAGGGCGCGCTTATTTCGTTCGGAGGTGGAGGTCTGGGTGTTTTTTTTGAATTTCTTCGGAGGTTTCGGTGGCATTTCTGAACTGTGCTCCTCCGACGAGTAGTCGTTGACCTCTGGATCGTGCGGGATGGTCGGAATTTCGGCGTGGAGGGCTTGCTGCGCCGGGAGAGCAAGAGTTCCACCAGAGGAAGATCTCTCGGAGAAGAGGTCGACATTTTCGCCGCAGACGGGCTGCAGAGAAGCGAAGCTCGCGAACAGCACAACGGCGAGATGAGCAACGAATACGCGCTTTGTCTGGGTGTTCGGGCAGCTGGTGGCATGATCTTCACTAGGTGGCCGGGATTTGCGACGTCGCCACCTGATCCACTTCCAGATGAAATAATGGCCTGGCTTCGTCATCAGGATGAATGGCGTTAGCACATCGTTTCTTTTGAAGGTGCGTGCCTGGCTAGTCGTTCTTACGCCACCATCAGGGTCAGTGTGGAGACCGCTTTGTAAGGGCCCATCCTAGAGAGACCCGAATCGCACGGCGGATCCAGCGGTCGCCATTGCGCCAAACAACCATTGACGACGGACCCGCGGAGGACCAGAGAAAGCCAAAGGAAGCGCTACACGGAACCGGAAGTCAGCTCGCCGGCATCTGCATTTGCGTCGCGATTCTCAGTGATTCTAGGTGAACGAATCGCGACTAAAAATTGAAGTATAGTATTTGGAATTGGCTGCCCTCACATGAAGGAAACTCTCGCTAGACTTCTCTCGAAAAAGATGACTCATTGCTACGCTCTCGTATGGTAAAAAGGGCTTCTCGCTTCCTCTCGCCGTCACCACCGCATTAAGCGCTCTTTTCCTTTTTCATACTCGTGGCCCTCGTGTGCAACTCAGACTCCTGACGCAAAGTAGAGTAAGACAGAGGGCCCGTCCCTCCGAGTTTGCGAGCGGACCACATACGTCGGCCACGACATCAACGAACACCTCGTCCCCGCCCCATCGTTTATCGTTTCTTATTATTTCACAATAACAATTGCGGCGACCACATAGATAGAGACAGATAGGCCAGAAGCGAAGTAACGCAGCGCGTGGGGCAGGACCAATGCGGTCGGCCGCCCGCGCGCCGGCCGGGCCCCGCGGCGCCGAGGCCTGCGCCCTCGCCCCCGGGCTGCTCTGGGTCAGACAGGCGGATGCGTGCGAAAGGAATGCGCCGGCCGAGCGCAATACAGAACAGTGAGTGGCTGGGAGCGAGGGCAGGGCGGGCCGGCTGCCGGCGGGGTGTAAAAGATAAGAACCAACCTACCGCCGCCGAGTCCATCGATACATATGGGGAAAGAGCAAGGCTGTCCGTCCGCGCTCCGCCCCCTCCGTCCTGGACCGCACCACAGAAGGATGGAGCCAAACCCTTCAGGCGGGGGGCAGAAACAACAAAAAACCCGAACAGAGCAACCGGGGCCCGCCTCGCTCCCACCCCAGCTCTTCCTTGGTCGGGCCCGATGTCCGGCCATTTTTACGGCACGCGCGCGCTGACGTCCTTGTCACGGTACACGAAGCAAGCGCGTGGAGTTCCTGGCGTGGTTCTCGTCGCGCCCTTGCATTCCGGCCCAGGGCGAGAAGGGGGGCACCTCTGCACCAAAGCGGGAGCGACGTATTTCTTACAGAAGGGGGGCACCTCTGCACCAAAGCGGGGCGAGAAGGGGGGCTCCTCTTACATTTTATCCTTATCCTGAGCAAAGACGCAGGTCTTGCAGGGTGTAGCGACTAAAGGGCACTTTGCCACGGTGGAGGAACAACATGTGCACAACAGCGCTCTACTGGGCTGCGCAACGCAATGCGCCGGCGGAGTCTGGCGTCGGACACCGTAGAGGAAAAACGCCGCGCCCAGGGAGTGCGGATAGCGTGGAGCGCGACCCTACTGTGGTGGCGCCCCCGAGCCTGATTGGCCCGATGTCCGGCCCATGTGTTTCCCCTGTGCCAAAGAAGCGCCCGCGCGCGGCGTTGCGGAGCGGCCACGACAGCGACCCAGGCGACCGGCAGGCGCCGCCGCGCTTCCCCCGGTGGGGGGCGGCGTCGGTCCGTGCACCGGCCTCGGCCGCCCGCCCGAGCGCTATAGGCAACACCAGGGCCAGGCCAAGGGGAAACCGTGGCGCCCTCGCACGCCTCCGCTGACGACCGGCACGGCGTTCCCCCTGCGGCTGTTGCCCCCGCCGCGCTTTTCCTTCGCGCGGCCGGGCCGGCGCGGGCGTCGCCTTGCGGTGCTCGGCGAACTTCTTCCCGCTCCGAACCATTTCCGCGCGCGCGGAGTTGCGCGGGGCGCCCATAACCAGCGGGGGCCCCCCAGCCGTGTCACCCTGCCCCGCTTCCCCGCAAGAAAGCCGCCGACAATATCTATGCCGGAGCGCGCGGCGTGTGGCGGCGCCTCGCCGGCGGGCTCTAGTGCCCCGCCGGCCGCGGGCGCCCTCCGTCGTTCCCGATCGTGGGCGCACAGACCGAGCCCCGGGCCCCACACCACGGCGACGCCCGGGCTATCTAGTCACGCCGTACGTGGCCCATCTGTGTAAGGGCGCGGAGTCTAGTCCGCGCATTGACTACACGCGCCGCGCTCGTCGGCAACTCACATCCAGGACCGGGCACCACTACAAGAAGACGCAAAAAATTCAAAAGCGGCAGCGCGCTCAATCCCTTTGGTCTTGGTCAGCGCAGCGCAGACCTGCAACAAATATTGAGCACAAACTTATCTTCCGACAACACTGCTGGCAGAGTTGGAGTTCTTTTCGTCCAAGCCCAGGGTAGACCGTATTGAAACGGACAGAGGTTCTATTGATTCTGACCTTGCAGTAGATTCATATACAAAAACTTCATAAAGTAGCTCGGGAAATAGAATCTTCAATCGGTAGACGACTTCGTTGCCATATTAGAGGTGTATCTTTCAGTGCAACATGACGCAGCGCATGGTTTTTGCCGACTCATGCATGCAATGCAAATGCTGTACTTACTGTCGATATTCTCGTAAGTTATCTTCATGAAATTCTTCATACATTCAAGCTAAAAAAGTGAAGCTACAACACTTTTCGTCCGCAACGAGTGAGATCATAAAGTCCAATAACAGAGTAAATACCACCGGTCAGTCACTAATTAGGGTCGCACACCACCTCCACAGAGGCGTCCTCGTCGAGATCGGCTACGTAAAATCAGGCCCAGATCGTATGGGGAAAATCAATCTATCACGGCAAGGCGCAGAGCGTAATTCTATCGTCTCTGAAGAAAAACAAGACCAGTAGCAAAGAGTAAGAGACGAAAAAAAATTCTGGACCAATAAAGCCTTTGGAAATAAAAGGGTAAAAACTAGTGGGTACAGATTCTACATAAAACGAAAATCGGGTTCGGGACAATGTAGGTGACGTTTGCCGCTGTTGCACTTGAAGCTACGTACACCTAGTATTTACTCAGCTCTCGCTGGTGTCGCCACGAAGTTTGTTGCTTCTTCTCGAGAAAAGCTAGCACGTCGTCTCGCCAAAGAAACAAATCCTTTGGACGCGGGAACCGGAAGCCCGAAAAAATTATATCAGGTGCCAAAACACAGAAACTAGTCGAGAGTAAGTATCTGTGCGACGCCGAAAGAGAAAAAAAATTGTGGAAGCAAACAGTATCTGATGATGCTCCCGTCTTGTAAAAGGAATTGGGTGAGGTTTCAAGGTGGAATATTAAGCGAGAAGTCACTACGTACTAATGTCATCTGTCGAATAAGTAGCGCGACCAAAAACCGCTTTCCCCTGCTGAAGATGAAGTACGATACTCATCTTATCGGTGTAGCAAACACAAATTTCGTTCTTTCGCCGAATCATTTCACAGCATCTTCACACCATCACAGAAGTCACCGGCTGATGGACGGGGGTAGACGTAGAGGTAATTTCTTCAGAAGAAGCCACTGTCGTGCCCCCCGGACAATTCTGCTCCTCGTCCTCCGAAGTTCTTATTGAATGGGAAGATTCACGAGATCCACGTGGTTGTTCCTGCACACAGAACTTCTCATCCGCATTCATCTCCTCCTCTCCGTCAAACTCCTTGGACGAGAAACAAGCGCCGGTTGGTGACAGCAACACGACACTTTCAGCACTCGGAGCTGCTGCTACTGCTGCTGCCCGCGGTGATATGGTCGTCGTACAACTAACTTCCGTTGATGCGGTTAGTTCCTCCTCGCTTGCAACGCTCTCGCGTCTTGGATCCGGCAGAGCGGAGCGCCAATCCTCCTGACCGCCGCACGGCACCTCCTCATACTCGACGCTCAAGTCACTGCAAAGCGACTCGCGACCGGAGATTCGATCCACGTTCAGTATCGCATGCACATCATATGATCCATCGTTCACACCACCTTGATGTTGTTCCGACATCATTTTTGTTTTGATGTTCATCCCCTGCTCGTCCTGCATAGAAGTGGTCTCCCGCTCCTCGCTCGCCGATCTCACTCTTCCTATCCGGAAGGAAAAATTCTCCGGCTTGTCCTCGCAAGACACGATGATTTGCTTCACTGGTAAGCCTATCAAGTGCAAAAATGTCTGGGTCTGGAAAAGTGTAAACTTCTCATGCAGATTTTCCATGACCCATGAGGTCTGGAATGCGGGACGTAGCATGACAGACTCTGCGAGGTCTCTGCCATGCCTATCCTGCATGAGAACCTCCATCCTAACTTGGTCAAATAAAGTGGACAGCTTTTAGGAATCACGCAACACAGATTTTGACATGATTCAGGTTTACCAGGACAAGTTGCCACCTTCCAGACCCAGACATTTTTGCATTTGATAAAGCCTCTCGCCCGTTTGATCTGAAACATTTCCTTCCAACTGGCCTGGCAGCGGTTGCAGCGCGTCGCGACCTATGCATTGCAAAAAATATGTCTGGGTTTGGGACTTGTGATGTTAATGTGCGAATGGTAGGCAACCTTCATTACGGGGCCACGCATGACAAGTTTCTGAGCGAGGACTACGTCTTGCATCAACCGCATGACAACCTGCATTTTTGCATGACACAAAAGAAGCAGTGTAACTGTTGTAGGGCATCACGCAATACAGCTCTTTCTCTCCTGTCTGCCAAGCATGACAAACCTTACATTCTTCCCGACCCAGACAAATTCGCGGTTGATACAGGCAACCCGGACCGAAGAATCGGGATGACTCGGGCGTGAAACGGACATTGGGAAGAGGAGGAACTTGTTTGTTGCTGTTGGGTTGATGATGATGTTGTTGAAAAGGAATTGGAATTGTTCCCTGGCCCGGTTTCGGATGATGAATTTATCCTGGGCAAAAGTATCGTAGTCGTAGTAATCTTCGCAGTCATGCAATACAAGTCTTTTTCTTAAAGTAAATCCGCATTACAAATTTTATTTCTTATGTAATGCATTTATACGAGTACGATACTTTTGTAATTCATATCGTTGGTTCTTCTACAACTCTCCTCGTACATGCTCCTGTGCCCCGGGCCGATACAACGGTGGATCTTCTTGTGCTCGAAGGCGTGCTGCAGCTCCTCCACCCGATCCGTGTGGTAGTATTCCAGGTAGGGAAACGCGGGGATGGTTCTGAAGGGGAAAAAATCCTCGGGTTGGGATGCGCTGGCGAAGGAGAACTGATGCTGGTCTTTATTTCCACCTATTCCTGCGGCTTTATTGATGTCCTCGCTCTGCTGTCTTTGTCTCTCTATGAATTGCAACAGTATCGTACTGTTATGCATCACAAATCTATCTAGGCGCTAAGGTAAATCCGCATTACAAATTCAATTTGCCATGCTGAGCCAATTTGTCATGCTATTTCTACTAGTACGATACTTTTGCAATGCATACTCTCTTTGTTCCGCTCCAATGTTTGCGCTTGGGTGCGACCATAATTCTCGGCGAGTTCTTCCAAGTGTTATGACAGTGCACAACTTCCCCCCTCATTTCTCATGCAAAATACCAACCCCACCGCTTGCCTCTTGGCACGGTTTGCGTGACAAGTTCTGGTAGCCCAAATAGCACTACACTCCAGCGCAAATTTGTCATGCAAAACCGGCATTCTTGCTGATGCTTGTATTGCCGTGCATGCTATACAAATGAGGGGGAGCGGGAGTTGTGCACTGTCATAAGTGCCGCACGTGATCGAGGAGGTCCTTCACTGGTGCAGCGTCGACGCCTGAAGGTCATGAGAGGTTTAGTTGTAGAAGTTGTCATGCGGTGTAGTGCATGTGAGTGCGGTGTTGTCATGCTGATCATGAAACGCGAATATTAAACTTTCGCGCTCGCGTACGATCATTATTAAACAAGCCACATAACTCGTCCTACACCAGGAAATCTACCATACCTTCACTCAACGTTTTGCACCCTAACCGCCCCTGCGTGAGCATGACTTTCTGGCCCACCATGAAAAACTCGTGCTCGACGAATTGCGGGAAGCCGTAGAAAGGAAGCGACGTCTGCTCCGATGGATCTTGCTTGAAACGGGCGACCGGAGGCTTGAGGGATTCGAAACCTGGTTTGATGAGATGTGAAGAAGATCCCTCATTGTTGTGAGGCTAATAAAACTTCTGATGCACATGGTTTATTTTTTGCACCCTTTCTGTAGACTCTGGATCGAACATTTTGAAGCAGAAAACAATAATCTGCATCCACCGCTGCATGCAAAATCGCAACATAGTCATAGTAATGTTCTGTAGTACGAAATATCGCCTCGCGGAGCATCTCGTACGCGTCGTCGAGCCACACCGGCATTGAATCAATCTGGCTTCTCAAGTCGTGCTCTTTCCGTTCTGCTTCGTCGGCCCTCTTTTGTTCTTGCTCGAACTGGTACTGAAGCCGCAGGCAGAGCTTTTGGTAGAACTCGATGCTGTTCTTCTCTGGAGGGGAGTTTGAAGAGGAACTTGTTCCTCTCAAGTCCGACGGTGGAGAGGAGATCTTCGCTACAATCGACTGCGTACAACTACCTTGTTGCGATGAAGGAACGGCAGCTGGATCGCGTGTCGTGCCAGGACTGTTTTTACCTGGGTTGGGAAATGGTCGTCCTCGATAGGGCAAATTTAGAAGAAGAAGTCCTGATTCAATACTTATGGGCTCCCACCTGGAAAAGGACCGACTCAACATACAACATCTTTGAAAGGAAAGAAAGGATACATGTTGAGAGCCAAAGGTTTCTTTTTTTGGTGATGTCAGAAAAGAAAAATAAACACACCTTTCTGTTCCTTTCCGTCACCGTTACTATTTGCTTCCCCCGTTGTAATTATATCACCCGCAGTAGTAGTTCCGGATCCTGCCTTGTCCAGCGGCTTCGCGGCTTCCCGCAGCATGGCCATGTCGTCGTGAGACAGAAACGCCACTTTGCTGTCTATCACAGTAAATTTCCCGTACACGTACAAATGTGGTCTCTGCATGACAAACTTTTCTTCCAGTCCTATTCAGCATGACAAGTGGCATGCTCCAACTTGGTAAAATGTGTCATGCATTTTGTACACGTATAGGAAATTTGTATTGCATACTGTCACCGGGAAGATTATCCAACGAAGCTGCTGATCTTCCGATCTTAAATTGTGAATTTTCTTCTCGGATGCTGTCGATATCCCACTTCGCGTCAGTTGCGGTACTACTGGTAGTACTGCCACCGCTGCTAATTGATGTAGTAGTAAAAGAAGTCGCGCCACTCTTGCTCGCCTCGTCGCTAGCATCCTCGTGATTTTTCCCGACAACTGCCTCAGCAGGCACCAGGCGGAAAGATCCTACCTGCAGAGATGGTGGAGCAACGCAGTTTTTATCAACATCTGCAGGATCTTTATTTGATATTTCCTCCTTCGGACTTCTCCGATTTTCATTTTCGGGCGTTGAACTCGGACTCGCGTTTTTAGAAGAATTTCCGCTCGCCGGACTGCTGGACTTGTTGTTAAGAAAACCGATGCCGTTCAACATCTTCGCGGCCCCGACGTTAGTAGAACCAGTACTGCTACTAGCATTGTTCCCCACTACACCACCCGGCTGCACAACCACATGCACGGGTGAGCCGCTCGGTGTACTTCCATTGCTGTTCCGGGTCCGCCACCTGCCGCTCGGCACGCACCCACCTCTACCCGATCTTCTGCCGCCCTGGGATGTGCTCGAGGTATTGGACAATTGCCCGCTCGATTGCTGCGACTGTTGCGAGAAATTCGACTTTTCAGTGTCTGTTGGGGAAGCTACATTGCTCCTGGTCGTCGTCGGGTTAGCTTCGATAGAAGAGGAGGTTTTTGATAGATTCTGACATATTTCTCTTTGTTCACTTGCAGAAGAAGAAGAGGAAGTGATATCTGGTGCAGCACCTCCAGACGCGGCTGCTAAACCAAGAACAGAGTGGTATTCCGAGCGCTCCTGCTGTTTGTTCGTGATTCGGTAGTTCGGTTTTGAATTCGGACTGCTCTGCTTGTTCATCGGTATGTTGGAATAGAGATGTTGCTGACCTGGCCCAGGCACGGCAGCTCCTACATTTCCTCCTCCACCTGCTGCACTGGAAGTGCTACTCGAGCTCGACGCGGGTGCTGTGGACGTTTTACTGGAGATTGTTGCTCCATCGCCTACAACTCCACCTCCTGTGTCTAGCCGGAAGCTCCGAAACGGGTTGTTTATCTGCAGCTTCGAAATATCTACGTCCCGAAGGTTCGTGAAAAAAGAGGGGATAGTTGTAGCAGTACTAGGAGCTCCTTCTTTATTTTCTTCTGATTGAAACAAGAAGTCGGCTACTTTATTTGCTGTCGGGTTTGTATTGTTCGTCGTCAAGTGTTGTTTAATATTATGGGTTTCAAAATCGGTAGTATGAGATGTTGTCGACGTCTCAGGTGTTGTAGAATTGGTGGAAGGGTTCTCGTGCAGCGGAGATGGATTCTTTTCAAGATCTCCGTCACGGATCGATGGGGGGCTACTTTCGCGCACAATCGTATCCTCGGTGTGGAAGAAGTCGCCTTGCTTTATTTCCGAAGGAATATTTGTACCAAGAGCGTCCGTCTGTGCAAATATGTAGTCCTTGGAGCTGCTCGTCATCGTTATGTTTTGTACTAGGGTTCCTGAAGGTCCTGCTCGTAGTTGTAATACTCCTCCTCCTGCTGCACAAGAATTATTTCCAGTCGTAATATCGTCATCCAGAGCGGGCGCTACTACACACGAACCGCCACCGCGGTTCAAGGTCGTGGTACTATCGTCATCCAGAGCGGGCGCTACTACACACGAACCGCCACCGCCTGCTGTGCTCAGATGCATCGTCGTCTTCGTCGGTTTAATTTTTCCTTGCTGATCCAACTTGTAGCTTCTTTTTTGTAAAAAAGAAGCACTCATAACTTGATCTAAACACTGATACTGTAGGTTGTATCACTGCTCTGCTGGATTATCCCTTTAATTGGCGTAAGTGTGATTATCCTTTTACTTAATATTCGCAAGGGAAAAAAGTATCTTCTTCGGATGTGGTCTGGTCGTGTGGTGTTCTCAGGCTTCGAAAAGCACCGCGGCGAAGATTCCTTGGTCAGTAATAGCTCAGCAAAAATGTCGAAGTTGGAAAGCTTGTTTTCCCGCCCAATGAAATAACCGCAACTGCTGGTAGACGCGACGGTGCCCGCCGAGAAGAGCGTGAAGATGACGCAGCTTTGTCACAGTGACAGTTGTTTTTTCCCTGCAGCTTCGGTTTCGGAAATAAATGTGGTTTGCTTTAGCTTTTGTCAGTCAACAGAATGTAAGTTCATTGTATGAAAGTACTAACTGTCTTAGTTTAATTTTGTTGCAGCTCATGCTTAAAGTTACAAACTCTCCACCTTTTTTAGGCGTAGCATTCGAAGACTTTTCCGTTCTTTTATCGCAAGTTTTACACGTCGTTCCTAAAGAGTAAGACAGAACAATTGTTGCCTCGCAAGAATTTATGAAGCATTCCATGTGAGTTCCAAGCCGAAACTCGAATAAAACAAGGAATTTCCGCAGTACTAGCAAAAAGGTCCTTAGGCTTACTACTGTTTTTCCTCGTAAAGTCGCCTTTCTAAAAATTATCGACGCCGCTGAAAGGCTTTCGTAATCGTAGTTCCCGCTCGTTTTTATGCTCATGCTGACAAAAAAACAAGTATGCGTGGTCATGTGCTCTGCTGCAGGGACAGAAATTGCCTAGGCTTGAGCAAAGCTCGACTGCGAAGATCAAAGACAGTCGCAAATCAATCTGCACCAGATTGTCCAGAGGTGAAACGCAACGCGCAGATCAGACATCGGCAGCGCGATCGCCCTAGCTGCTCGTCGCAACAGACTACACTACGCGTTGAAGGAACACAATAAAATCAGCATACTTACTGAAGCTTCCACATTGATGCGACTCCGTGGCAAACGAAAACGATGAACCACGTGCGTTTCATTTTTCGTGCGCGGGTAAAAATTTGCACATGGGAGAGGAATAGCAATCTCAAGGCTTTGTGGTTTCACATAGAATTTTGCGAGGGACAACTGCAGCCGGGGAAGAGAGACTACAGGATCAACATCATATCACAGGTGTATACATCAAAAACAAAAGTAAACTTTGTTTATTCCAAACGGCAATCACGGTAGAATCTGCTGCTGCGGTGATGTGATCTAGAATCTTTTGTCTGAGATGGATCGCAGGTTATGTGAGGGGACACATTTGGTTGTATTTTTCGATTGCAGTAGTAAAAATGGTGAAACTGCTGCTTGCTGCAACATGAGAAGCGCGAGAAAAAGCAAATCGGTCGTGAACAAGGCAGAAACCCACTTCACTTTTCCTTCTTCACGTCCTCCTCCGCCGTTGTGGTTTTGTCGTCATCCTTTTTGTCCTTCATTTCCACCTATGCGCTGCAAACATGTCTGGGTCTGAAAGATTGCGAGATCTGTCATGCTAGCCTGGCATGACTCTGAACTCTGTGTTGCGTGGCCACAAACAGCCTCTCTCGGCTGTCATGCAAAAACGCAGCTTCTCATGCGAAATACGCAGCACAGAAGCAGAAAAAGTTTTGGCATGCTTCGCGGCGCATTACAGTGTGCTATATTATTGACTGACTTGCATCACAAGGTTCCAGACCTAGACCTACTTGCACTGGATACCACCTCTCCAGCGTCATTTTTCGACGGCGACGCTGTCTCGTCGTCGTCTGCACCAGATGCCGAGGAATCTTTCCCCTCCTTCTCCTTCTTCTCTTTTTTTTCCTTCTTTTTTTCCTTTTTCTCCTCCTTGTATCCTAAGTAAAAACGTCCCCGCCCGACGCGTGTCATCCTACAATCAGGATGGGCTGATCGATTTGTCATGCGACCACACTACCTAAACACGATGATACTACGATGCCAGACTTGTCATGCGCAACACACAAACCCTTTTTGATTTGTGTAGCCATCAAGTCCCCATCTTTAATACTCCGCAGCGCGGACGTTTTTACCAAGGATACCTTGCGCTTCTTTTTCTCCTCCTTTGTCAGTCGCTTTTTATCGTCGTAGTCCTCCTCGTCCTCTTCCGGATCGGGCCTGACGCCAAACACGTAGTACCGGATCACGTCCCAGCCCAACCCGACTAAACAGCAAACCCCGAGGAGATACAGGAAAATCCTCACCCGCGGGCTCTTCGTCTGCTCGCAGTCACAGCCCATCGCCCAGCTATGAACTGCAAAAGTATCGTACTACTATAAATTGCATGACAAATTCCCTCAGCATGACAAATGCAATTTGTCATGCTGATTTGCCTTGGGAACGAGATTTGTAATGCGTGTCTGCAATTAGTACGAGTACGATACTTTTGCACAGGATACCAGCAGTTCTTCGCTGACTCCCACTTGTCCTTCGTCACGTTCACCATCAGTCCCTCCGGATGCTGGTCCGTATGGAGTGCAAATATCCCTGGATGTCTGGAAAGGTCGAACTTGTAATGCGTGTCTTGCATTCGTGGAGAATTTGTGTTGCATCAACAGCAAATGGGACGCTTCCCTTGCCATGTAAAAACGCTGTTTGTCATGCGTGTTTAGGCATCAGAAGGCGCTTCGAAAGCTTGTCATGCTTGGCTGCCATTGCAAGCGTTGCAATGATGCGCAATTCAGCATCACAGACTTCCAGACCCAGACATTTTTGCATTTGATAGTCCGTTTCGATATACAACTCCTCCCCCTCGCCACTGACCCAATCCAGCCCGCCGGTGAACATGGGGATTGACCAGGACTCCGCGATGCGCCGCTTGTACTCCCCCACCGGGCCGCACCGCTTCGCGAATTCGATCATTTTTTCCGCCTCCACCGCCGTCTCGGCGTTGGACCCGATTTTTTTCAACACCTGGCATTGCGGCGAACTATCCGTCTCGTTCACCCGCACTAAAATCTGGGAATCCGCGAAGGCAATGCCGGAGAAGGGGGACAGTTCGTCGGCGCGGGGGCACTCCTTCACCTTCACGCCTGGACCGGCTTTAGGACCCTGATTTGTAGTTTTTGCGATTTTCATTTCAATCAATTTCGGCTGGTTCTTCTTCTTGCCATGCAGCGATCATGCGCAAGAAATAAAGCAGAACCGATTTGATGCTGTGCAAAAAAGCTCGAAGATGATTGAAACAAAGGAGAAGTCAAAGTAGTACCGTATTGAACTTGTCATAGTTGTTAAACAAGATCTTCGATCGCCCTCCATCGTATTCGAATGCCGCGTGCACTGGTACTGGCTCCGTCGTCAGGTGCACACCAGCGGCAGTCAGGGTAATGGCTGCTTTTCGCATGGTTCTCAATTCTTCTATTATTTCAGGTGCTGTCTTACACAACCTTAGTTGCAGCCCGTCGTGGTGCTGTGTGCGGTATCTAATAGACTGCCTAACCCTAAAATGAGGTACTTTAGAGTAAATGACGATAAATTTTGTCGCTTTACAAAATTTTTTTTTTTTTTACAAAATATTAGGGAAACACACGTTTTTGTGCAGGAAAGGGACAGCAATGCACTAATTTTGGATTACAAAAAAGCATGCATGTTTCCAACACGTGCTACAACTAACAACAAAAATACACGTTTTGTCTGGCCTGCATGAAAACTGTTGGTCGAAAACAGCCTACTAGTAGTCGCACATAAAGAGTCGTGACTTCCAAACTCAGTATAAAGTTCCTTTGCTTGCGCGCTTCTCTTCTTCTACCAGGGATCTGATTCTCGTCTTCTTAGAATAGTCATAGTGGCACAGCACTTCACTTCATCTAGTCTTTACCGACTCTGCTCTGATCTGCTTTCTTTAGAAAGATTTCGATCGTCAGTGTTTTTTCTGCGCTTCTGAGAGAAATTCGCAGTGCTTTGATATTCAGCCTGTTCTCTTCATCCTAGTAGGAACACAGCGGGGTCATATGAAATGCTCTTGCCATTCTAGCCGATACCCGGTCAGTACGAACTACTTGTGCTCTTCTTTTTAATTGAAAAACTTTTACTCAACTCTGCTGTGATAAGTTTAGGAAAATAAGCAGCAGAAAGCGCTTTTTCTTGCTCTGTGAATTATTTGTCGAGGAAAGTGATACTCCGCCTCAAATGTTGATGACAGGTCGCTGAGCTAGAAAACGAAAATTTTTCTTCGAATGAACGGCGCGACTTGATATTTCTTGCCGCGGCGAAGTTGTACTGATATACTTTCAAACTAAACACCTTTTGATGCTGACTCTGAAAGCGAGCCTGTTGTAAATATTTCTAGGACGATATCGGCTGCGTCTTAGGTACCGAACTGCTTTATATCGATAAGTTTTACTAGATTGGGACTTTCAATACTTGTCGCTATTTTTTGGGGAAAATGTACCAAATCGACAGCACAACAGCAGCATCACAACAGAGCACGTGCCTTTGGTGCTATTGATGACATCAAATCATCTTCTGCTGGTGTGCAAGATTTTTCTTTTTGTGACGTCGTATGTCGTAGTCGCTACCTCCTACACAATGATACTTTTCCCTTTTTGATGGACAAACCGGAACCTCTTCTATCTTGGCGTCGTCCCGTCCATGTTGACATCCCCATCCTCTGTTACTTCCGGCGGTGCCATTTTGTAGCCGTGCTCCACCTATCAAGTGCAAAAATGTCTGGGTCTGGGAAAGTGCAAACTTGTCATGCAGATTTTTCATGACCCACGAGGTGTGGAGTGCGGGACTTAGCATGACAGACTCTGCGAGGTCTCCGTCTCTCCCATGCCTATCCTGCATGAGAAACTGCCTTCCATCTTGGTCAAAAGTGGACAGCTTTTGGCACTCCTGCAACACAGATTTTTGCATGCTTCAGATTTACCATGACAAGTTGCAACCTCCCAGACCCAGACACTTTTGCATTTGATACCACCGTGAAAAACTGGTAGATTTTCTTCCGGAGCTCGTGTGCTGGTTTCAAGTCCTTCTTCGTGAACGAAGCTTTTGTGAAGGGGTCCATACCGTCGCCCATGGCGATTCGCTCCGCCGTGTCTCTGTTGACGATGTTGCCGGAAGGGAGCTCCACGGGATCGTTCATTACGATGTCCCTGATAGAGTAACAGTTTTGGGTTTTTGCATGACAGATTCTTTTCCTCATTCGAGACCTGCATGCGAAATTTTCATTTTGGAAAACAAAAAAAAAACTTCAAAAAGTCGTACATTAACGGATCCATGTATTCCTCTGGTAGCGAGCCCACTTTCTGCTCGATCGCCGCCAGCTGGTCTTCCGCAGACCCCGTCTGCTCTAGTAATGCTTTGACAAAGCTTGCGAACTCCTCAGACAAGTCTTTGCTTATCATGCCGTCGCGGCGGGAAATGCGGACAGCCTTTTCGAAGGTGTTGATGTTCCCCGCTCGAGCGTCGTTGATCACGTGGTGGATTACCTGTTTTAATATTTGATGTACGGGACAATAAATACGGTTGGATGTTGCGACGTCGTTCGTGCTGATTTTTCCAATGCGAAAACACATTGAGTTTGAGATAGCAAAACCTGCATCATTCAACATGGTAGTAGAACTTTCTGTACCTTATCCCTTTCTGTCCTTGCTATGACGACGAGCATCTCGATGATGAAAGTGAGCAGTTCCACCGGCTTGAAATGAAACTCGGCGTAATCTTTCTGCCCGCCTTGCTGCTTCAAATTCATGGACTTGGGGCCGACAAGCCTGTGAGAGTTGTTGTGTCCTCGTTCATGCAATAATCATAATGTCCAATCCTGCATGACAGAAGCTATTTCTCATGCGCAGCGCTGCAACAGAAAAAATGTATCAAATACCTGTCCATGCAGGCATTCAAACAGTTCTGGACCATCTGCTGCAGAACCACGGATATCCTGTGCAAAAGTATCGCACTCGTAGTAATTGCAGTCATGCATTACAAATATTTTTATCAAGGCAAATCCGCATTACAAATTCCATTTCTCATGTTTAGGAAATTTGTATTGCAATTCATACTAGTACGATACTTTTGCAATGCATAACGGATTTTTTCGTCACGATATTACAGTGAAAAATGCCACCACCCCGGAATTTACAAAAGTTTCTCATGCAAAGTTTCCAAGTGAAAGCTTTTTGTCTTGCATGAGAGGACTACGAGCGTTTCTGATGCAGAATCTAGGTGCGCGAGCTATCTTTTGCATAACAGATCCGGCTACTGGTGGGCTCCTTTGCAACACAGATTCAAGCTATTCAGCATGGAAAATTTGTGATGCTGATACATGCAAGACGGGGAATGTTTCTATTGGAAAGGTTTGCAATATAAAGGGTGCCAAGCTTGGGGTAGGGGCATTTCTCATTGTGATACACGATTTCCGGTGTTTCTTTCACGATGGAGTGCAGGGTCTTAATCGTCCGGAACCCTAATTTCATGTAGGTGACGCAGTGCTCCTTGGGGTCTCTTCTGGATCTTCTGTACAAATCCTCGCCCTGCTCGTTCCTTTCGTCGTCCTCCATGCCACCGCGGTCGACGCCGACGCCTTTTATTTAGTGGAATTAGTGATGCAAAAACTACACGAAGACAGTGTCAAAGAAAATGAAAAATGCAGTTTATGCATGACAGACACAGAATCAATGATCACGTTCTTGAAAACACGCTCTATACCAGCCGCCGCCGTTTCCATCAACTCCTCGTCATTGATCTGCTCCCCTCTGGCTCTTCTCTCGGCCAACACTTTCCGTTTTCTTATCGATGCCAACGTGTCCATGCCCTCATCCAATTGCACCGTCGCATCCGACATCAGCAAGTTCAGGAACTTCAAAAAATCGTCCTCCTGTTCGGATGCGAAATTTCTCAAATTTTTCCGGTGTAGCTCACTGGACTGGTTCCCAGAAATCAACAACCCGAAGAGTTCCATGATGGGCACGCGGAGCTGGTATTTCAGCTGCATCCTGATATCGTAATAACTTTGTTTTGTTTTCTCCACCGCGTTGAAAACGAGCAAGCACGAGGGGATGATGTTCTGGACCACCGGCTTGAATTCCTGGAGTCTCGTCGCCCACCGCTGGGACTTGATCAAAAAGCTAATAATGTTCACCACTTTCCCCCGGGTACTCGGGTTCTTCACGTGGTCGCCCGCGCCGAGGAAGAAGACGAGCAAGAGTAAGAGACTGTCCACATCTACCCTTTGGTAAAACGGGTGCTGGGTCGTTGGTGGGTACTGCACGTCGCGGAAATATTCCAAAATCGCGACGAGATTCTCCACCAAGCACGCCGGCAGGACCGACCACTCGGGGGAAACCTGCTTCGGGGGGATCGTCACATTCGTGAACGCCGCTGCTGGTCTATCCGGGTTGTCGGCGAACTTCGGCTTGCATTCCGGGTAAGCGGCGGCGAGTAAGTACAGTTATGGGACTGTCAGGATCGAAATCGACAAAGTCGAAAAATTTGTAATGCATAAAATGTAGAGCACGTATGGCCTGTGTTGGGGAGCAAGCAAATGAGACCGGTGGCAGGCCTGTTTAGGGGAAGGCGTTGTGCTGCCAGAGTACCATGACAAGAGCAGTCTTCTTTGCCCAAACAGCATGACAGACTGGATTTTAGTGCTTCCGAAATTTGTCATGCGCCACTTGGAAACTGAGGCTCCGACTGGTGTCGATTTTATGCATCACAGGTTTTTCGATTTTGTCAATTTCGATTCTGACACTCCCATAACAATGCGAGTAGATTTATGCCGTGGATCAACCCGGACAGGAATCCCTCCTGCTCCAACACCGTGCTGATGCACAAATGCTCTATTCAGGAACAAAAGTGTGTAAGTGTAACTTTCTTTGAGGAACAGCATCACAAATATGCTCTACATGACAGAGAAACCTTGTCATGCATGGTTTGTATAGGGAAAACACCCATGAAAAGAGGACTTGATGGCTGTCTGGCATGACAGGTGTAACTCTGTTGCATCTTCTGCAGCACAAATTTACACTTACACAGTTTTTTTCTTGCATATGCTCCCCGAAGCACTTGTCCGCTTTCTCCGGCGCTTTGTTCCACAGAGAAGAAAACGCCGCGACGTAGCACATGTCCTCCTTCAACACCGGGCAGGCGAGGCAGTTGAAGGATTTGAGTAACAGCGTGAAGATCTGCGTCGCGAACTTAAATTTCTGCTTCTGGTTCCCGTTCTCATCCAGCAAAGCCATCTTCAAACCGCTCTTCGCAAGCTTCACCTGTTCCTCGTCGCCCATTTTTGTTTCGGAGGAAAAATCGCCGAGTAACTTTTTCACTTCCTCGTCCACGGCGAAAATGCTGGAGTCTAACAACTGCCCCACCGCGGAAATTTTCACGGGTCGATTCAACTCCAGTAACAGCCAGAACACGTTCAACCCGCACCCGGGCGTGGAATACCCGACTGTCCTCGCTTGCTGGATCTGCATGGTTAACCGGGCGTCTAAGTTCTGGTGGAAGGGGATGTCCGAGTTGGACAAGGTGTCGATGAAGTGGTTTATCAGATACAAAAATGTCTGGGTCTGGAAACTTGTGATGCTAAAAGTGAATCGTAGACGGACTGCAATACGCAGCTATGCATGACAAATTTTTTGGCTCCCATGTCTTACGTATTCCGCATGGCAAACTGCGTTTTTGCATGACAGGTAAGAGGGCCTTTTCGTGCTTATGCAACACAGATTCTCGAGTCATGCCAGGCAAGCATGACAAACTTGCATTCTTCTAGTAGACCCAGACACTTTTGCATTTGATATGGTTCTCCTGCCCGCCCTCGTGAATCTGGTTCGCGCCCTTTGCGCGGTCGTCATTTCCCTTCAACATCTCGGCGAGCCAGTGAACGACCGCTTCCCGGCAGTCCTCGCCGGAACGCAGCTATCAACTGCAAAAGCATCGTACTTGTCCTAAAGTTGCAAACATGCATGACAAATCTTCTTCCTAAGGGAAAAGAGCATTGGAGATTCCTTTTCTACTAATGCTGAGGGAATTTGTGATGCTATTTCTACTAGTACGTTAGACTTTTGCACTTCATAGTAGCAGCGGATTCACCACGTTCAGGGTTTGCTCCATGACCTAGTAAATAAATTGGGTTTCGTTTCACTTTCGTTTCAAGATTATGCATGACAAAACACACTTCCACTCCACGTCTCAGCAACACAAGTTCACATTAGAATTATACCTGTCCCATGGTCCCTTGCAACGTTTTTTTCGACGCCTCCACGGTTTTCTGGGATTTTTTGGTCGCGTTTTCGAAGTGCATCGACCTCACGTCCGCTTTCACCGAGCGGTACAGCATGGTGTCCATGGTGGTTGGACAGAGTAGTGTTCCGAAAAGCGATTCCATTTGCAAATTGAACCCGTTAGATTTTTCCTGTCCAGCTTTCGTCCCGAACATAATCTTCTGTGCGTCGGGTTGGAACTGCTTGCTGCAGGTGGTGACGATTTTGTTCAGCAACTGCGATTTTCTGCTGATCAGACTGGTCAAAAACCCAACATCCTGCATTTTGTGGTCCGTGAAACACCTGCCCTTGATCCTCTGCATTAGTTGGTCCAACGCCGGTTGGAAGAGAATTTGTATCGCGGTGAGCTGGTCATCTGCCGGGTCTAGTTCATCACAAATCGTGGTCACCAGTAAGTGGACGAAGTTTAGCGTTAATATCCGGTTCGGCACGGGTCCGCCGGGGGTTAGTGGCGTTGGGCAAAATAATTGGACCAGCAAATCCGCACCGGCGACTTATCCTGAGTAAAAACGCCCCCACACCAGAGTCAAGATGGGGAATCTGCTAGACAAAATCAGCCAGCTTTGGTTGTTTCGCATGACAAGTTTGTCCGCGTAGTGTGATCCTGTTTAGGTAGTTCAGCAGCATCAGAGATATATCTTATCATGCTGATTATAGCATCACAAATCCCAAAACACGGCCAGAAAATGCTTCTCATGGGGCTCCGCATGAGAAACTCTTTTGGCGTGCTGATTTGCATGACAACTCTGGGGCGAGGACGTTTTTGCTCGGAATACGACTGTGCTCATGTTCATGTTACCGTCCGGGTCGCTGAACATTTCCGGCATATGGATTGCAAATATGTCTGGGTCTGGAAGGTTGGAACTTGTAATGCTAGCTTTCCATACCTAAAAAAAAATCTGTATTGCATAACCAACAGAAGTCGCTGCAGCCTCTTTTGTGCATGCAAATACGCAGTTTCTCATGTGGATTGCGTATGAGAAAGCGTTCTCGAAAGTTGTCATGCTGGGTTGCATTCGGAGCTGTTTCCATCATCCACATTTCAGCATCACAAGTTTCCAGACTTGTGATGTTTGCATTTCATAAGGCATGGTCAAGACCAAATTCGCGTATCTGGCGAGCAAGCGCATCAAGTCCGGGATTTTGTCCTTCAGCTCTTGCTGGAGTTTGTCCTTCCTTGCGAAGTCCTCACAGCGGAGGAAGCACCCATGTAAATACTGGATCTGTTTGATCTGGTCCGCGTACAGTATGCCCAGTTTCGCCTCCACGATCAAGTCTGCGCGGTTGAAGGAAGGTGACTCGGCTTCCTTTAGCTGGTCAACCACGGCCTTCACAAAATTCGCAGACTGCGCATCGTAGCTGCATTCCAGAATGCGCTCGATGATTTTGGACTCGTCCATTTTGTTACGGGTTTTTTCGCGTAGTGAAAATCAATGTGGACGGTCTTTATTAAAAGGTATTATAAACAACCAATTAGTGGGCGGGGTTAGAGCGCGACATGTGTGACACGGTGGACACATCGACGGTGATCAAGACGTGGCTGTTTTTATAGATACGCAAATTATTGTCTACGGTTTCTATTGGACTTGCGGCTGAGGAAAAATCAGTTGCTGTGTCGAAAAATCACAAACCAAGGAACAGGAAATGATTTGACACAGTACAACTACGTAGAGGTCCTGAAATAAATCGATGAGTGGGAAAAGCAATTGACCTTATGTGCTGCAACAACTTTGAAGATGGCCAGATTTGCTTTGAAGCAGAAAAACCGCCGGCGTCATATTTGAGAACTGATCATGAAGATCGATCGGAGAAAATACAGAACAGCAGGAGCTCGCTCCTTGAAAAGTGCAAAAGAGCCGACAGGCTCGTACCGCCAAGCACATTCTTGCCGGTGGACTCGCTTGCTTTTATTGCACCAGAGATTCAGCTGCATTGCTTTCATCTCGAGGACAGTGAAACGGAAAATACATCAGTGACAATGACTACTTGCCTTGTAGGAGCCGTAGTATCCAAATTCAGGGTCCACCAGCGGAAATAACTTCTGTTTTTGCCTTAGGTAATCTTACATTCGAAAGTTCTTTCCTGGGAAGTAGATTCATTTTTGTTATAAATGCGACGCTGCTCGAAGCTGCATCCAAAAATCTTACAAGCACAAATTCGCCCCCGCCAAACTTCCCCCGCGTTTCAGCTTTGGCTTGTTGGCGCTCGACGCGGTGCTCTCCTGCCGGCGAAATTTTGGTTTCTCCGAGGACACCGCAGAAGCGAGTGAGGGTTGCGGCTGAGGAGGTAGGGCGGGTGGCACCCCTGGAACTAAAGACCCGCGTTGGTGGTCTTGCTGGAGTTGCTGTTGCGACGGCTGAAATTGGGGTGGAGCTGCTGCAGTTACAGGAGCTGGAGCCTGCATCTGTGGTGGCGGCATTTCTTCTACAGCCTGCATGAGTTGTTGTGAATGTGATGGTGGTGCTGGGTGTTGTTGTTGGTACGGCATCGATGGGGGAGCAGGGTGGTGTGGTTGAAGGCCGGTGTTGTACACTGCTGGGGGCAGTGGAGGAGGTGCGGGGGACTGCATGTGCATTTGCGGCATCTGTGATGATGCTGCACCTACACCGGTATAGCTGCTAGTCGCGCCGTACACTTGCGGGTCGTACCTCGGCGTCACTTGCTGCTGCACTTGTTGCGATTGGCCGTGTGCAGGCAAAACTCCATTAGCGTTAAAACCACCTCCTGCACCATACGCAGGTGCAGCTTGTAGTCGGGTTGGTTGCTGCTCCGCCGCGCCGTACCGTGCGTGGTCGTAACGGTTGGATATTTGCTGTGGTCCCAAGTGCAGTTGTTGTCCCTGCGAAGAAGAACTACTCATCGTCATACCAGTCGGATCGACGAGGTTCACGGCTGGCGGAGCAGCAGTGACCGACATCGGCGTCTCTTGCAGGTGGTAATTATTCGTCGCGCCGTAGTGCTGCTTTTCCCCCGACTGAACAAAATACGTTTTACTCGGCGTACGATTAGTAGTAGCTGGTGTGGAAAACTGCAGCTGCTGTGGGTCTGGCTGTGCGAGGTGCTGGTTCAGATTTCCTGGTTGCGTTTGCGGTGTTTGCAGCATGAAGTTCATTTGCGAAGAAGAAGCTGAAGCAGCGCCGACAGAAGCAGCCCCGACAGAAGCAGCGCCGAAGCTGTGGCGGCGAGAAGCGTCGTTGTGCGGCTCCACTGTCTGTTCAGCTGCACCTGCTGTGCCACCCCGAGTCTTGCTTTCGTTTCGCGAAGAGCCATTGCTTTGTAGTTGATTTTGCAGATTTTCATCCCCGCGCGGAAAATTCATTTTGTGCAGCTCCGCCGTGTTCATAGAGGACGCAACAGAGAAGTTCTGAAGATAATTTTCGTCGTACTTGTAGTAGTCGTATTCCTGTTCTTCCTCATCCTCTTCAAATTTGTGGTAGATTTTCTCCCGCAAAAATTTCTTCCCGTCGAACACATTCTCCGCCCCGTTCTCCCTCAAGTAGTCTTCAAACTCGTCATTCCAATCTGCGGCAATCCGCATGATTTCCGAATGAATCAACCGGAACGATCTCGCGTCAAGTAAGATCATGTCTTCGAAAAATCGCGAAGCTCCTGGTGGTGGAGTTTCACTTCGCTCACCACCGCCCTGCAGGACAGAATTCTTGTTCGCTGCAACCACGTCGAGCAAAGGATTCTTCGTGAACAGTGGCGGCTTGAGTAGTCTCTTCTTAAACGCCATCACACTGCTGTTCTGCGACTTTCCCGGGCTACTCCCATTTCCCGTTCCATTCGTGGGTAAAGAGCTGCTGATGTGGTTCATCAGGTCAATGCTGTTCCCGTCCATGACTTTTTCCCCCTTTTTCAAATTCAACCTCTTTTCCGCTTCCACATTGGCCGCAATAAATTCGGGGATCACGATTTCGTTCTGGATGGTCTTCAAAAACTGAAACGCCTGCATCGCCAGCTGATCCGCCGTTTCATTCTTCGGTAAATCCACGCCGAACATCTTCTTGCACTTCCGTTCGAAGAACTGTCGCGTCCACACCGCAGGTAGTGGCCCGGGGGCAATCGCCCGACACAGATCCGTTTGGGCGAATTGCTGCAGCGCTTTCCCTAAATGCTCCACTTGCAGTGTTTCGATCGGGGAGCAAAAGTGGCGGGCGTTGGACCAGCGAAGGGGGGATTTTTTCATGTTGTTGTTCTCATCACCATCATTGTCATTTCCTGATGCTGAGGACAACACTGCCACTGGGGAAAGCCCGGTCGTTCCCTCCTCTCCGTTCCAATCGGGCGGGAGCTGCAAATCCCGACCCTCCCACTTCTTCTCCGTGATAAGCTCCCCCGATGCAGTTCTTGGCTTCAAATTCGAGTGGATGAAGTAGTAGGGCGGGGGAAGCAGTAGGTCCTCTTCGTCCAGCGCAGCTTCTTTTCCCTGCTCCTTTTCCCCTACTTCCGATAGTACCGGTTTCTTCGCCAAATCCAGCCCTGGTAATTGCGGCGGAAACCCCACTTTCTCGTAGGGGTAGATGAACGCCAACGCACCACTACAGACGTTCAGGATCGCGAGAATAACGACATCGTCTAAGGACATGCGGTTGCCGTAGAGCCACAGAGAAGTTTTATCCTTCCGGTTCTCGTACTCCTTATCGATGGAACTCCAAAGGTCGAGGAGCTTTTTGATGAAGGTCGGGATCTCCGTTTTCCGCATCGTGTCCATCTGCTCAAGGGTTTTCAACAACTCCTGCTTTCTTTCCTGTAATTCGCTCAGCTTCGCTTCACACTCGCTTTCCGCAGTACCATACTGGGCTTGTTCCTGCTCTCCTTGTTCGTTGGGTCGTTCTTTCTGCTGTGAAGACCACGAAGAGGGTCTGCTCTTGCTACTCCTGCTGTTATTCGCATTCACCGCCTTGTTACGGGAGTTCCGCAAGCTCGTCAGTTCCTCTTCCAATTGTGAAATCTCACTTTCCACCTCGTGGTACTCGGTCAGCGCTTTCTATCCTGTGTAAAACCATCCCCGCACCATAGTTGTCATGCAGATCTGCATGCTCAAAATGTTTGTCATGCGGAGCCCCAACATGAGAAGCGCCCTCTACTCGTGCTTTGGATTTTCTAACGCTCCAATCAGCATCAGAGGCTAGATCTCTCATGCTGCTGAACGAGCTAAACAGGAGCGCACTGACTACGAGACCAAACCTGTCATGCGCAACAACCAAAGCCTTTTGATTTGTCTAGCAGATTCCCCATCGTGACTATGGGGTGGGGACGTTTTTGCACAGGATACTTCCGTCGTGTTTTTCAAGCACACGTTTACTTTCACTACCGTCATTAAAATGTTTACCAGCCCGCCCATCACAAATTTCGGGAGCGGCATCCCCTCGGGGCAGAGGTTGTGGAGGTAGCGGTGCTTGTCGCGAAAGTTGTTCTCGTCGTATGGAGGAAGCTCGGAGTCGTCGATTACGATGTCTTCGTCTTGCTCCTCGATTTGGGAATCTTTATCCGGAACTAGTACAGAATCCGGAGCCTCCTCTTTGTGCTCTCCCTCCTTGCTGACAGCTCCACCCACTCCTACCGCCGGCGCCACGACCTCTCCGCTCGTCCCGCGCTTCGGCGTCGCTGCACCAGAACCGGGTAGTAGTTCTTTGGAAGTCTTCTTTTTGTTCGGAACTGCCCAGGGAGAGGTGGGGCGCTTCGGTAATCCGCAGGACTTCGGGGAGTCGTCGTCGTCGTCATGCGCTGCAGTGATTGGAGGTTTTGGAGTCGAGGGGACCGAAACAGGAGGTTTGCTTGCTTGATGTCCCACCGATGGCTCGTTTCCCGTTTCTTTCGAAATCGGACTGGAACCGACATCCCCGTTTGTCGCGTTGTCCACGGGCATCGTTTTGAGGCTTGTCATGCCGCTGCTGGATGACTGCTTCTCGATGGTGTTCATCTTTCCGTCTGTAGTTTTTGTTGTACCAGCCGCGTTCTCTTCTCCACTGTCGACTCCCAAAACAAGCGGGACAGGTTCTGTTGCCTGAAGTTGTTGTGCCTGATCAGCACTACTAGCTTTATTTTTCTTGTTCCTCTTTTCCCTTGCAATCTTCCTTTCCTCCAACTTTTTTTTCCGCAACTTTTCCCTTTCGTCATTCAAAAACTTCTCTTTCCGTTTTTCAAACTCCCGCTCTACTACTTCCTTGTCCGGCTTTTCCAGAAATTTCGCGAAATGCGACTCCCCGAACTCCTCACAGAGCAACTCCAGGATGTCCGAGGACTCTTCCAAATACCTACCGTTGTAGATAATCGCGGGCGTGGTGCAATTTTTCCCGACTTTCACCACCCAATCCGGCTTGTCCTCCATGTCCGACACGATAATTTGGTGCGGGATCTTCGCCGCTTTCAACAGCGCATCCACAGCGGAAGACACCGAACAGGACTTCGCCAAGAGACCGCCGACCTCCTGACCTAACAGCCACAAATGGTCGTGATCTTGCGCACTACTAGTTGTACCCGCAGATGAGCCTGCCGCTGTCATCGGAATCGATTTTCCCCGGATATCTCCTCCACAGAACAAGTACACCACGTTTGGCTCCGGATTGTCAATGCAGGTCGGCGTGAAATCCACGTTCGTGCCGTGCAAGCAGTACTGGTCGGGGGCGATCTGTCCGAACGCGATTTCAATGTCGTAGGGGCGGATCTGGTAGTTATGCACTTTATTCGTCGTTATCAAATGTAAAAATGTCTGGGTCTGGAAGGATGCGAACTTGTAATGCGTGTTGCGGATCTTACAAAAATCTGTGTTGCATGACTTGCAAAAGATCCCCATTTCTAGCCATGCCGAGGGGGCATTTGTCATGCAGAATAGGCATCACCAAGGGGCTGCAGAACCTGTGATGCTCGGCCCTGCATTCGAGACTTGGCGGAGCTTGGAAAAACTGCATGACAAATCTCAGAAGCTTCCAGACCCAGACACTTTTGCAATTCATAGTCGTCCCCATCACCGTGTGTCTTTGCCCACCGAGCGACCGGTCGCACTTGTTCTTGATCACGGTGGAAAAAATGGAGGACGTCGTCGTGGACAGGTTCGCCGCCCGCTTGGAATGAAATTCGTTTTCCTTACTTAGCTTTCCCGATTTTGATAGTCCAGGGTGCAGCTGCTGGTCATGGTTTGTTTGTTGAATATGATTGTCAGAAAGCTGCACATAACTCTCGACCGCCACCGGCTGTTGCTGCTGCTGCTGTTGTTGTTTCATCACCGCGGAAGTGGAATTCATCAACAGATCTTGTGACAACTTCGCAGAAGAAGTCAGCAGCTGGTCCTGTTTCTGGTTGTTGTGCAGGACTAACCCGAGGACTTGATTCAACTGCATAGACACCTTCCCCAACGTCTGCTCGATCATCTGCATGAAGTTCTGAATTTGGCTGTACTGCTGCTGATTCAACTGCAACTGCTGGAGAGAGACATCAGATCCGCTCGTCACCATTAACTGCTGATTAGAGGTGGAAGACGGCGCAGCTGCCTCGCCTTCGTATGTCATGACCTGCTTGTTCATACTCGGCTGAATGAAATGATCACCGTCCATAGACTTCACCTCCAAGCCCTCACCTCCCAACTCCGCCAAGTCGTCATCCCCGATGTCAGAGCCGATCTCCACAAAGTCGCTGATCTTGTTGAAATTCGCAAACACCCGGGCGGGTCGGAAACCGTCGGAGGACGCGGGGATCTTCTCCATCGTGTCGCCAAACCGCAGCTTGCCGAAGACGATGTCATCTCGAAAGTACCGGTGGGCGGCGCAAATTTCATCGTGGTACACCCCGTCCCGGCCGGTGAAGGTGAGGGAGAGAGCGAAGTCCGTGTTGTTGGCGAGATCCGCCATGTACACTTCCGAGATATCAGCCAATGGAGAATCCTTCGTAATCACGTGCTCGGCGACGCAGACCGCAGTTACGAGAGGGATTTCGGTGACCTGAAATAAAGTTCATTTCGTCATTCGGGTTTTGCAGTGCAGGTGAATTTTCTCATGCGAAATTAGGACTAGAACCAACAAAGTTATCTTGTACCAACAACGGCAGCCATTTCATGTAGGTTTCCCCTTCCAAAGTCTGCTCCATTTTCAGCACACTCAACCGCACCTGCGGCACGAAGATGTGATTACAGCGCAAATTCCCTAAGCGGAACAGCAACACGCGCTGGTTGTTCCGGGTGGTCACGAGGGCTTGATTCGCGAAGACGACCGCGGTATGCATCGCAACTATGTCTCGGTGTGGATGATTGGGGGAATCTGTCATGCAAATTGTACATGACCCGCGACGCCTGTGATGCATGCTCTACTAACTAGCATCTCAGCTTTATCAACGGAAGCCGAGGCTTGCTCATGCCTACCCCGCATGAGACATGCCCCCTTCGGACGGTAAAAATCTGCGTACCTTTTGCTGCTCATGCAATATAGGTTTTTGTATGCTCGAAAGTTAGCAACACAAATCCCATTCTTTCTAGACATCCAGAGACACTTGCAATGCATACGCGGCACTCGGGTGCTGTATTTTCGTGACCATGATGGAAAACGCGAGAACGTTGATCAAGATCCCGGCGTATAGATTGCAAAAATGTCTGGGTCTGGAAGATTGCAACTTGTCATGCTAAATCCGAAGAATGCGAAAATCTGTGTTGCATGAGGGCCAAAAGCTGTCCACTTTCGACCAAGTTAGTAGTAGTAGTAGTACCATTTGACTCCTGGCGGGTGGGCGTTAGAACAGATTTAGCCTCTGCCAATACCTGGGCGTCGACCAAGCTGGGAGGGAGTTTCTCATGCAGGATAGGCATAGCAGAGACCTCACAGACTCCGTCATGCTAGGTCCCGCATTCCAGACCTCATGGGTCATGGAAAACCTGCATGACAAGATTAACACTCTTCCAGACCCAGACATTTTTACAGTTGATACGGCGAACTGTTGAACCGTCGCGAGAAAAAACAGCCCCATCAGCGGTTCATTCTCCGTATCAAATGTAAAAATGTCTGGGTCTGGAAGAATGCAACTTGTGATGCTGCATTTGGATTCCAAAAAAATCTGTATTGCATGAGTACCAAAGGGAATGCAATCCTTGCTACGCTGAGAAGGCATTTGTCATGCCGAATACGCATCAAGAAGCCCTCAAAAAATCTGTATTGCTAGGGTATGCATCACAGACATCATGGCTCATGCAAAACGTGCATGACAAGTGTCAGAATCTTCCAGACCACCCAGACATTTTTACATTTGATACTCCGAAAAGTCGTAGGGTAAAAACTGCCCGTAGCCCATGGTAATGACGTGCGTGACCGACCAGATCAGCGCGATGCCGAAGTAGCTGGACTCCGTCGCGGGAAAATTCGTCCCGGGCACTTGGATGTTGTCTTTCACGAAGGGGAGAGTCAAAAGCGCGAAGGAGAGGCAAATGGATCCGTAGAAGGCGATGGCGTACACCGCGAGTCTTTGGTAAGAGGTGTCCAGGATCTTGAAATACCAGGAATCAAAGGTCCCTAAAAACCGCGGATCGGCTAAAGTGGACTTTGTCTTCGTCGGGCGGACGTACTTCGTCTTCGTTTCCTCCTTGGACTTGTTTTCTGCAATGATCTGCGCTTTCAGCGCGGAGGGGAGATAGCGAGCAAGTTGCATGGTTCGACGTTTAATTTTGGGGGTTGACAACTTATTGGGCGACGAAGACGATTTTTGCTGGTAGAATTAAATCCGAGTACTGTAGCTCAGGCGGCCTCGTGCTCCACCTTCGCTACAAATATGAAATGCAACCACAAGCGCCGCGCATGAAGATTATTTCTCGGAAATCTTACTGTTTCTAATTGAAACTGTCACGAATTATAGGTTCAAATTTGCTGCGGGTCGTGTTCGTTCGAAGCTGCGAGGGATCCCCGCGAAAAGGGGGTCAATCTCAATGCGCAGCTTATGCTGACTGCCAGCCTGTCCACCAAATTCGATTTTTCCGCCTCTGAAAAATGATGCTTCTTTGAAAAAAAAGATCAATTCTAACGAAAGCCATCAAGCTCCACTCAAAATCTCTTTCTTTCACTCCTACTCTCTCGTCTCCGACTACGAAAAAATTCAAGTGAAAATGTATACTGATTCCGTGATTCGGTAAAAAAACCGTTCCAAAATAAATGTGGTCGAAGCCGCCGCGAGAGTCGAACACGTTTAGCATTGATTTCCCCGATGTGGCGGCGAGTTGTGCTTAGCAGCCATCTTCCGCCCTCCTGACTTAGTGCCGGTTTACTTCTCGCACCAGTGGTTTTTTTCCTTTAGGGTAGCAGAATGGGTACTATCCGATTCGAGATATCGGAAAAAACAGGTGGTTGTTTGTGGAGCACGCATATTAGCCAAGAGAGCAATCGATGTGAAGTTGTTCAAGAGGTTCCGTCTATAGAAGATGTTTAAAAGGACCGGTAGACTACAGTTTCATACTCGACGACACTCCCCGCACAGAAAGAGGACCAAAATTATGGCACCTTGTTCTGCTGTCGAAAAAAAATGTACGAAACTGTACTCTGCCGCTCGTTTCAAATAATATCGGGTACTATTACATGCAGAGTAGCAAGACCCAAAAAACAGTTCGCGTTCTGAACTAAACACGGCTTCACAAGGAGGATTTTTATGGGGGATGATATTTGTCGCACTTGGTGATTGTGGTTTAAATCATACGAGAATCATACTCGACTATGGGTACTAGGAAACTCGCAATGCAAGTGGAAAATTTGATTGGAGCTTCTTCCCCAAGGAAAGTCAAAGTGCATTTATCAAATGGAAAATAGTTCGCAATTTATAGAGGATAAGTATCAGATTGCTTTAAACTCTTGGTGGCTAATAAATGTTGACCCAGGTCAAAAGTAGATCGTGATCGCCAGGATCTCTACTATTTTTTGCATCTTCCAGCTACAATTCCCGTGGCTAACGGACTGGTTGCTGCATATGCATTCTGAATTCGTCCATAGGTGGTGTTGCTGCATATGCATATGCATCCCATTCGCATAGGTGGTGTTTTCAAAATCAAAATCTATATGCTCAAACAAAAGTATATTGTCGTTGGTGTAGTTGTCTTAAAATAAACATTCGTGTTGATAGATTCTTCCACATGTCTGACAGCTTCTTGTAGTTGTGTGAAAAACAAAAGCCCGACACGTGGGAAGGATCTGGTGCGTTTTGGTATAGATCTGAATATTGATGACGTCTTTCCCATATCAAAAAAATGATACAGTATAATTTTCAGACCCGTATGAAAATACGATGACAAGTAGCCATATGTGTTTCTTTTCCCGGTAAAGCGATCTTCTCGCATGCTCGTATAGATAAGTTGAAAATAGTACAGCAGAAGCTATCGTCTCCAGCACTTCTGGTGTACAACTTCTAGGGGTAGTTCGTAGCAGTAGTACTAGCAATATAGGACATTTAGTACTCATTCGCAATAGGTTTCTTGCAATAGTTGAAAATATCCGAAACAAAAGCTCATCGCGGCAATAGTGGTAAATAATCAAAATCTCGTGGTAATAGGTTGTTCTTCGTGTAAAAGTGGTTCGTGGTTCGGTTCCGGAAAAATCGACTTAAAAGTTCTTACAGAACATTTTTGAGTAGGTTCAAGTTGGTTGTTCTTGTTCCGATTTTTCCGATAAAACATTCTTAGGGTTCCTCCTGTACGGCACAACTTCTCTTATCGTTCTCGATAGAGAAGCAGCAATAGTAAAGACTCTCTAGCAATGTCATCTCGCATGTTCGATATTTTTATCGCGTGCAATAGTTAGTAAAACCGTAGTATGATGAAATAAACTCGCATTGTTTAGACTCGACTTGTTTTGACTGTTAGCTTATAGGATTTTAAGGGTTCTTGTAGACTATACTTGAACGTGTCACATTGCTGTGCTGGTCGTCCATGTCGTCCAATCTCGACTTCTATACAGCTCGGTCAGTATTTAGTACGGAGCACCGAAGCCGCCCCGACCACCGCCGAAGGAGCCGCGGCCACCCTTACCGCCACCCTTGCCGCCGCCGCGACCACCCTTGCCGCCGAACGGCATGTGCTTGGCCTGCTGCGCGAGATTTTCCAGTTCCGGGGAAATATACTGATTAGCCTCCCGCATAATCCCGATCAGATCCTGCGCAAACCTTGCCTTGTCGGTGGTCAGGAAAGAAACCGCGGTACCTGTATTATTGTGTAGTAAAGTAAGTAAAGCAAGAACACTTTTGCGCGTCACAAAAAAAAGCCGCAGCAGGCAACATCTGCTGGAATTTGTCATCACAAGATCTTCTGATGCTTGTCATGCAAGAAACAAAAGTTCTTTACGAATAGCAAAAATGATATCCTTGTTAGTAATACCGTCAGCCCCGGCTCGTCCCGTTCGGCCGATTCGGTGGACGTAGTCCTCGATGTTGTTTGGCATGTCGAAGTTGATCACCACCTTAATGTATCATGTGCAAAAGTATCGTACTCGTACTCATTGCGATCTTGCATGACAAATCTTCTTCCTGAGGTAAAACAGCATTACAAATTGTATTTGTCATGCTGAGCAAATTTCTAATGCAATTTGTACTAATACGATCCTTTTGCAATGCATACAATGTCCTTGACGTCCAATCCTCGTGCTGCGACGTCGGTTGCGATCAGAATCGGGTTCTTTCCGGCACGAAATTCTGCAAGCACCCAGTCACGCTCCTCCTGCTTCTTGTCACCGTGGATGGAGAGAGCGGGGTAACTAAGGTTTTGATTTTTGTTTTATCAATTTTAGTTTTACATGACGAATCATATATAGTACTCGGACAGTTATATTAGTGACGCATCACAAATAGCAAAACGAAATATTAAAACCGGTACACGAACTAGATCGTTCTTTCATCATGATAGCCTGCATGCATGGGAAAAAAAATTCATACCCGTCCATCCTCATATTTCTGGTCAAGTCGTCGCACCCTCTCTTCGTCTCCGCAAAGATGATAACCTTGCCCTGCTGCATGTATTCGCTTAACAACTGGTTCAATCTCTGTCGCTTTTCCCGCGCTGCGGAATACCCCGCGAAGATCTCGACCCGCTGGGTGATGCGGTGGTTGGCCTTCAGGTATCAAATGCAAAAGTATCTGATACTCGTATTGCAGTCATGCATTACAAATCCTTTTCTTATAGGGTAAATCCGCATTACAAATATATATTTCTCATGCTGAGAAATTTTGTAATGCAATTATACAAGTATCGGATACTTTTGCAGTTCATATCAGTTCCAAAGCACCGATGTTGATGTGGACCGGGTTCTCGCGGCAGAGATCGCGGCATCAAATGCAAATATCGATCTGGGTCTGGAAGAATGCAACTTGTGATGCTGTCTTGCGATTCTAAGAAAAGTCCTTATTGCATGAGCAGCAAGAGGAGGCCAGTAGCTGCTACGCTGAGGGAGCACTTCTCATGCTGTGTAGGCATTAGGAGGCCCTCACAAAACCTGTCATGCCAGCGCATACATCACAGACATCATGGGTCATGCAAAATGCGCATGACAAACTTTCCACTCATCCAGAACCAGACACATTTGCAATGCATACGCGGGCGAGCGAAGCGACGGACTTCGGCCACGTCGCGGACCAGAGCAGGGTCTGACGATCCGGTCGTACTTGGGAGCAAATCTTGCGGACCTGTCGTGGTGGAAAAAAATTCAAATTTATCGGCGGCATGGAGGCCACGACGAAGGTGCTGGAGTTCACCTGAAGGTTCTTGTCATGCAAGACTTCTGCAAAGGTTGCATCAAGAGAAAAACATCATCTAGATCTACATTGATTTTCATTTGCATCTTATACAATTACAAAGTATAGATACATACCTGATCCTCAAAACCCATATCCAACATGCGATCGGCCTCGTCCAGGCACAAGTAGGTAACCCGCTTCAAGGTGCAGATTCCCATGTCCAGGATGTCGATCAATCGGCCCGGTTATCAAATGCAAATATGTCTGGGTCTGGAAGAATGCAACTTGTGATGCTGCATTTGGATTCCAAAAAAATCTGTATTGCATGAGTACCAAAGGGAGTGCAATTTTTGCTAAGCTGAGAAAGCATTTGTCATGCGGAATAGGCATCAAGAAGCCTTCAAAAAATCTGTATTGCCAGGGTATGCATCACAGACATCATGGCTCATGCAAAACGTGCATGACAAACCTCGCATTCTTCCAGACCCAGACATTTTTACATTTGATACCGGTGTGGCGATCACGATCTCCCGCCCGTCGCGGATTTCGCGGATCTGCGGCTGCTTCGGTACACCACCGTAGAGGCACGTGTTGCGGAGCTGACCCTGAGAAAGTTTTTTTCAAAAACGGGATGAAAAGTATAAACGTCATGATTTCTCTAGACGGTTCATGTTCATCTTCGGTGCTAATGTGACAAGTCCGCTATTGTCAGAAGCAGTGAAACTGAGATCATTTTAGAAGTAGAATATAAAGCACTACATAGATACAAACCACTCCTACTTCTGTGACATCAACAAAAAAACAAAATCTTACTCCGAATTTCGTCACTTCAGTCTGAATCTGGACGGCCAGTTCTCTTGTCGGGGCCAAGACCAGGCAGATGGGTCCGTATCATTTGTAAAAACGTCCCCACACAGAGTCAAGATGGGAAATCTGCTAGACAAATCAGCCAGCTTTGGTCGTTTGGCATGACAAGTTTCTCCTCGTAGTGTAATCCTGTTTAGGTAGTTCAACAGCATCACAGATCCAGTATATCATGCTGATTGTAGCATCACAAATTCCAAAACACGACTAGAAAATGCCTCTCATGGCGCTCCACATGAGAAACTTTTTTGGCATGCAGATTTGCATGACAACTCTGTGTGGGGACGTTTTTACTCAGGATAGTCCGTCTCCGTTGTTCAGCGGCGGCTGTGCGGCGATGTGCTTGATCGCCGGCAACAAAAAGGACAGAGTTTTTCCGGACCCGGTTTCCGCGATACCGATCATGTCGCGACCGGACGAGGCAACCGACCACCCCTGCGCCTGGATCGGGGAGGGCTCGACGAACCCGGCCCGGGTAATCGCGTCCATGACGAAAGACGGCCAGTTTCCATCGTGGAACGTCTTCATCGGCTTCGGGCACGGGTGGCCACTGTTATTTTATATATTTTTGTCATGCGATTACAAACAACGTAGGCATGATGCTGTCCTTTATTTATGCATCACAAATTCAACTCATCAGTACTTGGCAATGGGTATAGGGCAACTGCAACATGCTGTTTTATTATGCAAGACAAAAATTCTAGAAGTTGTAAATTAATTAATAGCACTTACCCGTCGTTGATGATCGCGATGCCCTTTTCCTGACGCCACATCTCGACCTCGCTCGGGTGCCACTGTTGGACGGCGGCAGATTCCTGGTAAAAGTTCTTCTCGAACTGAATCAAACGCTCCCGGCTCCAATCGATCCGGCGCAAGTTCGCGCCGAGGCCGGAGCCTCCGCCACCGCCCTTGCCCTTACCTATCAAGTGCAAATATGTCTGGTTCTGGAAGATTCTGAGACCTGTCATGCACGTTTTGCATGAGCCATCACGTCTGTGATGTACGCCCTAGCATCACAGATTTTCTGAGGGCTTCTTGATGCCTATTCCGCATGACAAGGGCCCTCTTCGCGTAGCAAAAAGTGGACTCCCCTTGCTGCTCATGCAACACAGATTTTTTTCGAATCCAAAGCCAGCATCACAAGTTGCAACCTTCCAGACCCAGACATTTTTGCAATGCATATTACCGCCACCCTTACCAAAAGACGAACTACCTCCGCCAAACCCGCCGTAGCCACCTCCGCGGCCTGAGAGGATGAATCAGGATAAAGTACACGTAAAATAGTGGAACAAAATTAGTCTACTAAAAGATCTTTTCAACATTTAGTGGTTGATGCAAAAAGGGAACGGGATCTTGTTTTCTCTTTTTTCACGAGTCGGTTTTGCTTCATGTGTGTTTGTGTTTCCACAGGTCTGTGGCAGAAAAATGCCGTCTCACGAGATGAGTTGTTTTCGGTTCCGATTATTGCTGTGAAGATCCGCGTAGAAGTACTTCTGCACGACGAAACCGCGGAGGTATTCACAAATCGAAACACAACAATTTATTCGTGAGATCTCAATTTTCCACGACTTCTGGGAGAAAAAGTTTATCGACACGTGAAGTACAGAATGAGAAACAAAACTAGAAGATTAACATAATTTTCTTTCATGAGAGCTCCTGCGGATAGAGACAAATACACTGCAGCGAAGATGTGCTGGTGCCACTACACCATCACAAAAACCGCCGCCTGTGGCGACGCCGCAGTGATGAAATTGCATCGGCCTTGATGTTGTTGACAAGACCTTGATAACGTGAAACTGCGGACCACTGTGACAAACTGCAACTCCTGATGCGCAGGAGACAACCAGAAGCGAAAGCGCCCCGACTTCTTACTTTCTGCGCAAAAATACAAGGAGCCTGCGCAACGTGACGGGGTCAACAGTCACGAAGATTTATTTCTTTACTCCGACGGAGTCGTCGTGCTGTCATTTGTAACCAACACGCAGTAAGAAAGTCGCGCGAGATCGAATTGCATCTCACGACACTGCGCATCCATTGCAATGCACTTTACTCCGCCGACGTGGCCCCAAAATGAAACCTCCTGTAGTGCGGCCCGTCCTTTTTGTCGTGTGTGCGGCGGGTGTTACTTTGCCGCTTTATTTGATGCGACAAATCAAAACTCGTCCGTCGGCTGCCTCGTTATATTCATCATCTTCGCAATGCGCTAGTGTCATATTGATTTTCCCACACGTCGCGCATTACAAAGTCAGACGATGAACAAATCGAGAGACAACCAGTTTAGACGAACACCCACAACAAACTGCAATTGCTTGTAGTCGCGCAAAAATGTTGAGCCGCAGCTTCTTGGTGCGCGAAGGTTGGAAAGAATGCAAGAACTTTGCTCTCATGAAGAATTTTTTCAATTTCCATAGTACTAGTCCGTCCCCTTGTAATATTCTTACATCAATTCTACGCTGCTATTTACAACACTAACGCTATTCATTCACATTCCAAAAGTTTACTCATTTTTAAATTATGCAAAAATCAAAAGTCCGTGGCCCCGAATGGGGGAGGTTCGGTTGGTTTTCGCGCGAAGTCGATTGACTGTGGTCCGTTGCGTTTGGGGTGCTTCTGTCTCGGCTCGAGAGATGATGATGTCGGTGCGCTGAAAAAGTGAAACGGATTGCGACCCCTTTGCCCTCATGCAAAGTTGTACCGATTACGAGCAGCGCTTTCGATTCGTTTCCTCGATTTTCGTGTCGTGTGTCTGATTCTTACTAGGGTTCATCTTCACTGCCAAGCAATCTTTGTATTTCATCCTCGCGCTACTATTTGCTGGACTGCGTGCGCGACAGGTGGGGAAAAGCAAATTTCGATTTTCACAAAAAAAAAGCAAATAACCGACAAAAGCTACAGCGCATTAAGTGTTTTTTATTGACAGATCTATAGATTCGCAACTAAATTTGGAACAACTGCAATGATTTTACTCCAGAGCACGGGCACCAACTTCGAAGATTTGTGATCTTTCATAGCGTTTTTTACTATGCCAAATGTGCTGTGCTGACTAGTACGACTACGAGCTGCTAACATCTATCACTAACTATGACACACGAAAAATCGGATCGAGAGCATTGTGCTGCCCGCCCCGAGGTCGCAGGTAGTTGTACTAGACAACGTTGTCACTTCTGCAAAATTGTGCGCACCGCCGCTGGTTCATCCCTCGTAGCGCCGTGAGGAAACAGAAAAAATTGTTGTCCTCCTATATTCAGCACACCCCGTCACGACAGTAGACTTCTGCATCGACCACGACGAAACTACACGAGGACCTCGGCCACGCGACGTGTCGCACGAGAGTTAGACTTGAAACAACAACTTACTGCCGCCTCCGCCGAACCGGTCTCCGCCGCGCCCGCGGCTGTCACCACGACGACCACCACCTCCGTAGGATCCGAAGCCCATTTTGCTTGATTTGTGATGCAGAAAACACAAGTTACAGTTCTACTAACTCAATTCTTCGTGTTTTTCGATGTTATTTACTCGAACAGAACTCGATAGTATTGAAGATATCAAACCTTGTCCTACCACTAGAAAGAGAATGAACCTTCAGTTCCGAACAAAAAAAATTGACCTGCTGTGTCGTGGTTTGATTTTCGAAGCAATTTTTATTGGCAATGTAGTTGTACTAGACAAGAGGATCACAATTCTTGATTGCCCTATTCGAAGTGCAGAAATTATTCGGAGCAAGTCAATTTGAATTTTGAATTCAGGGTCGAATTTTTGGTTTGTTTTCGAGCAAAATTTTTGGTAGAAAGATGTTTTTTGTACGCTGTTTCGTGCTTATCGGGAAGAAACTTATTTCCTTTGCCGCGGAACTGGTTTGTTGATTGGAGTTCGTGATTCTTGATTTCTAGAATTCATTTTGCGTCTAGGAGGATTTTTTTTGGTGCGTCCGGGTAGATGAACAGCGTTGCAGTGCCATGAAAACAAATTTTAGGATCCAGTAGGTCAGAAAAAACGACCGAGAGGAAGGGGTATAGTACATTTTGCACGTTCTCTTTTCAACGTCAGGTGCTTATGCTTTATTTGTTGCGTACGATTTTCCGTGTCTGTCTCTTCATTCGGACGGCTACGGCTCTATTTTTTGCTTTTCTTTCTCTCACGATCAAAAAACACTGTCCAATGGTTCTACGAGGCAGTTCTGTTTCGATTTTTCGCTGTACGTACGGCTTCGTTTACGGATACGGAACACGATTTTTCTCTACTACGCAGTAGTACGAATTCAGGAATCAGGCTTGCCTGTCCGCATACAAGAATATCTTACGTCGAGGCACAAGAGCTACAGCAGGCGTGGTTCTTCCTCGTAATATTGCTTCTCATCAACGATTCCGGTATTTGGTTTTGTTCATGATGACGATCTCTGCACGTTCATTATTACATCGTCAGCAAAAGTATCACGAGCATCACGCACAGAAAACCGATGTAACACAGCAGGCACCTGCTCGACTGGGATTTGGTTACTTCCTGCAACCGCTTCCCCACGGAGCTCAATCTGGAGCTTGTGTTCCCGATATTCTCGTTTAGCTCTTCCAGTAAGTCGTTGTGGTAGTTGATCTCGATCTCGATATCCTGGCCTATCTGTTTTAAATTTGACAACGAAGAGGACATGTCAAGTGCAAATATGTCTGGGTCTGGAAACTTGTGATGCTGCGTTGGGAATAGAAGTGAATGCTCTGTCATGCACAGGCAAGCATGAGAAATATCTGCGCTTCTTTGTGTTGCGTTCTTCGCATGACAAACTGCGTTTTTGCATGACAGGCAAAAGGGTCTCTTCTTGGACACGCATCACAAGCTTCTTGGTCATGCCAGACAAGCAAGACAAATGCAGTGCATAGGACATGTCGGTCAAAACCTGCTCCTGTTCCTCGATCAGCAACTTCTGCCGTCGCACCTCCCTATCGCGAGAAAAAACTGTCTCGGTCTCACGTTGTAATGCGGAACTTCCTTGAGACAGCTTTTTGTCATGCTCACCATGCAAGAAAGCTGCCTCACATACGTGTTTTCCCTTGTGTTCGACGCATCACAGGTTTTGAGTACTATCATGCTCGGCAAATTTGTATTGCTGAGTCTGCAATAAAGGTTTGAGACTGAGACAGTTTTTTCTCACGATACTCCCCGGCGTAGGTGTAATCTTCTATGGAGCCTCGGTCGTAGGTGGAGTAGCCGGAAGAGTTTTGTTCGGGCTGGAAAACGGAACCGTCATAGCTTTGATGTTCCGGGCCGGAGGTGCCTGCTGTCGGCAGTAACCGGTTGCCGTCGCCGACCTACGGTACATAGCAGTTGGAAGTTTTTTTTTCGCTAGATTGTTCCCTAATTATATGCAAAACACGCATAGCAGAGTGGGTTCTTTCTGATGCACATCAGCATACAGAGAAACAATACTTACACATACGCAACAAGCACGACGAATGAAACTCTACAATCATGCTCTCCAGCTTGCGGACTTCCGCCGACAACACTGCTAGCTCATCTGTTCTCTTCAACAATTGCCGCTTTGCCAGCGTGACGCCGTTATTAGAAAACGCGGCCGCCGGATTAGTGTTGATCAATGCTGCATTGCTACCCGACGACATTGAACCACCCCCGGCAGTGCCACTACTCCCCTCTCCGCCAGCCCCGGTGCTGCTCTGCGCACCAGGTGTAGAAGTTCCTTGCGACTGCACAATGGCCTCCTGCAGGTTTTTCTCCAGCAGTGCTAACTCCTTCAAAATGATCCGCAATTCCCGATACTGTGTGTTGTTTGCCCCGATCTGGCTCGCTTTCAGCTTCAGCTGCTGCACGGACCGCGTGATGCGTTTCACGTCCGAGTTATGGATTGCAAATATGTCTGGGTCTGGAAGGGTGGAACTTGTAATGCTGTCTGGGGAGTCTAAAACTATCTGTGTTGCATGAGCAGCAAGAGGAGTCCAGTTCTTGGCGTGCGGAGAGGGCGTTTCTCATGCGTGATAAGCATCAAGAAGCCCTCAAAAAATCTGTGATGCTAGGACCTGCATCACAGACCTCACGGGTCATGCAAAATGTGCATGACAAACCCCGACTCTTCCAGACCCAGACATTTTTGCAGTTGATACGAGTCCCACAGCGCTTGGTTCCGCCGATTGGTCGGAGACTGGGCGAGGAAATATTGCAACGAAAAATGCCCCCACCCCAAAATGTGCAAAACTTTCTGATGCAAAGTTCCCAAATGAAGTCCTTCTGTCTTGCATGAAAGGACTACGAGTCTTTCTGATGCAGAATCTAGGGGAGTAAAGCATCTTTTGCATGACAGGCCCGGCTGCAGCTGGGCTCTTGCGCAACACAAATTCGAGCCATTCAGCATGGCAAATTTGTGATGCTGATATATGCAAGACAGGGAATGTTTCTATTGGACCGGTTTGCAATACAAACGCTACCAAGTTCAGGGGTGGGGGCATTTTTCATTGTAATAGGAAAGGGATCATGTCCAGCCAGGAGGTGGTGCCGTCATGGGCGGGTTGTCGTGCGGCAGATGCTGCTGTAGCTGGTGCCCGGTTGGCGGCCGCCGCGCTGGAAGAGGAAGAGGAGGAAGCCATTGGTGTTTCGGGGTATTTTACTGCTGATACCAGAATGAAGAAAAGAACTCCAGGGGTATAGACGCTCAAAGAACTGCAAGTAAACTCACTGTATTCTTGCTAGCATGGAGCATGAGGTGGATAGCATTAGAACAAGAAACAAGTTCGGAAAGTTCTCTATTCGCGAAAAAGTAAGAACAAGTTGCCCGTACTATAGAAAAACCATGCCCAGCTTCGCTCAGGCGCTGACAAGGTGACGATTGCGGCAACTACGAACAGCGACGAAAAGTACCAAAATGGGATTTGTGTCACTAAGAAGCGGCTGGGGCTGCGACAATTTACTTATTTTCCGATTATCTCAGTACTTCATCTGTCGCTTTTTCTGATATCGAGAAAATCCAAATCCTACAAATAAAGCACGCGCTGCTAGTAAAGCAGATGAAGCAAGAAGTGCTTTAGCTTTTCTTTTCATGATTACTATCACCAGCCCACTTCAGAAGTTCATCGTCGTTTGGCTCCTCGTCATCGAGTCAGCACTTTCATTCCGACGTGGTGGTGCTGTGGCTGTCCTCCGTCACTGTGAGGTCCTCGGTCTTCACAGATGACACAAGTTTGTCATGCAGTTTCCCTACCTCACGCTCACCACTTGCCGCCATACAACAACCCCCCACCTCGTCCTCGTCTGCGCTGGACTTGATTTGCAGTTTCACCACCGCTCGATGTGCATCTCGTGTGTGTTTGTGGTTTGCCGCCTGCAAGAGACTAATATGTTGATCTGCGTCGGGGAGGATCTCGGCAGGTGGTAGTTCTTCCGTCCCTGGCGAGATATCTTCAGTTCCTTGGTACGACCCTTTGTTCGCACTTTCCGCCGCTCCGCTGTCGACATGATGAGGATCATCGTCCACGGAAGTTGTGAGTAGAAAATCGCTACCCATCTTCCTCCTCTCCCGCCCCTGCAACTCCAACTCCCTCCGCAAACTCTTCACTTCGAGCAAACAGTAGTACCCAAGCAAGGAGGAGGTCACTATCCCCACCACCTGCAAAACCGTAGACACGCACCACCCCCGAAAGGCGTACCTCCCGATGGGTTTCAGCCACTGCTTCAGCGGGTGCAGCAAGTCATTCACCGAGGTCGCCGCCGTTTCCACCGCTTTTAACCGTTGCTGCTCGACTAACGTCTGGACCTGTTGGTTCAGTTCGCGCCACTTGAGGGTGAAAAAGGTCAAGGTCGTGGCGGAAAAGGTAGAGAACGCCGTGAAGAGAAGAGGAAACAGAGCGGGGAAGGCCATGGTGGTAATTGTGTCGTGACGATTGACTGGTATTGTGTGCAGTGAAAGTCGTGATAGTGCTTGAGTACGAGTGGCACGAGTGAAAAACAACGGTGGCGGCAAGGTAATGCTAGTTTTCGATTGGATCGACGAGGATCATCGCAGGTCGTTGAGGTATATCCTTAGTGCGCGAACAAACACCTCAAAACCCCAGGTAGCGTCAAGCCTCGCAGGTCTACTACTTATACATCGCACGACGGGGGGAAGACAGCGCACGTGAGAGAGCACCATGATTTTTCAATGAATGATGTAATACACTGCTCCGCTCTCGTCGTTGCTCGACCTCCGACGCGAACAACATACTGTGACCACACGAGAGAGCTCCTTAGCACAATGTCGAACAAACAAGGCGTCACGCAAAGATAGTTGTGAACACTTTCCTAATACCACCAGTGACACCAGAGTCAGAAAAGTTTCATCGTCAGATGCTTCGAATTTGATGTGTCGCTTCGCTTCTGAAGAACAAGAACTGTCGTAAGTATTTGCAATGCTTCGTTCGCGGAAAAAAAGCCGAGTGTGCAACCGGTCCTCGAGTTGTTGTTGATGCAGGCTGTTCTTGAAAGAAAAACCTAAGCCTATGCATCTCCAGTTGTACCCTCTTCCATTCCAAACACGTGCTTCCGGAACTCTTCGACCGAAAAAAACGCGCCACTCGCGCCGCACTTCTCCAATTCAGACACCAACTTCGCATGCTGCCACGCACAGGCGTACGATTTCACCCCCGCAGCCGTCGCCATCTTGATGCCCGGGGACAGATCGTCCAACACAATACAGTCCGAGGCCTTCAAGTCGAACTGCTTCATGATCTGCAGGGTCGGCCACGCGTTTGGTTTTCTTTCCGATGGATCTTCTCTCCACCCGTAAATCACGTCCGGGAGAAAGGGGTGTGGATTCTTATCCGACTTCTGGTTCTCATAGTGCTGCTTGATCACGTCCGCGGGGGAGTGGGAAACCACTGCGACGAGGCTGATGTGGGGGTGAATTCATAAAGTAAAAATTTTCTCTACTGCACAGTAATCAAGCGCATCAACAACGTGCGAATTATATCAACTTAAAAATGATCTCCACAACTCAACACTTCTATACGGAAAGCACTAAATCATGACATCTTCCTCTTTATTCTATACCCTCCCGCTTCTCTCCATTCCCGCAGCAACTCCAACATCCCGGGGTAAAAGTCCGGCTGTCTTGCTTTCATGAAATCATGCCAGATTTCCATCTCCCGCTTTATTACCTCCTTATCCTCGCCGAAAACGGTCTTCAAGTACTCCCCCACGCCCGGATTGTGATTCACGCGAAACCACCCCTCCAGATCTATCGGCTCGTGGCTTGGGAGTAGCTCCCGGCAGCCCGCGACGTGCGCCGGGTGATGGATAGAGGCGGTACTATCGACACACGTGTCATCGTGGTCCAGAATGAGACACTTGTACGTCCTGCGGGGGAGAGCAGGTCGTGGGGTCATGATTTTGTGCTACTGTTCAATGAATGCAGCCAATAATCGCAAATTTGCATGCAGCCTACTACTTATGTATGAATCGTTGAGTTTGCGATACTGAGATAAATATGAACTACGATACCAAGGTGGAACCCTGCCGTAATTCTGCGAGCTGAAGAACCACGTAATAAAAATCCGGAAGGCACAAAAATTGCAAGCAAGCACACGGGACCCAAACTGCAGAAAAACACACTTCCAAGAGTCGAGCAGAACCTCCACGGCAAGTGTTGACAAGAAATCTTTTTCTCAGAAACCTTGTACAGAAAAGATTTGCGCAGCCAGATCGGTATCGATAATTTCTTGCATGGCAATGATTTCGACTTCATTTTCGATCCACCATCTCCTGACCGAGGATTCCATTACCGAAAATGCATTTGACTCGCGACAAGATATAAATGGCGATCATCTTCTTCCAAATTCATGATCGTTTTGGATCGAATTTTCGAAGACCCAACGAAAGAGAACCAAACCGCCTGTGTGGCCCAGCCACTGTCCGCGTCCTTTCAACGTGCTTGATCTTGTTTCCGTACTATCGCTTTGCAAAATAAAACTGAGATGAGTACTGAGATGAGTACTTACTTATGTTCTTGTCTTCAAATGAAGCTGCTCAGTGCCGTTTTCTTTCGGTTGAGGAATATCGTGGGCCATGCTTGGTTTGAGTGCATGGTGCAATTCAGCAGCACAGCCATAGGTCCCCTCACTCAGCTTCTCTTCTTTTCCACCAAGTTCATCATCCCAGATTTAGTGAAGCAAAAGAAATCGTGTCAGCTAAAGAAAACTTTTTCCAGATTCTCAAGGATCAGCATTAGGATTAGTGTACTAGGTTTTACGATAGTGAGGTTTTTTTGTGCACGGGCACAACTCATCATCTGTGACAGTGACGACAAAAATGTAAAAATCAACGCTGTGTAGTTAAGCTTGGAATAAAAAAAATGTGACAATTAGCAGATACGTAAATTGACGGTGTAGCACACATGACACCGCCGCGAGGACTGTATGATGTGAGCTGGTAAATGTCAAGACAAGATGAAAAGAAATCGCGCATGAAAACCACCGGAACTACAGCTCAACCCATTACCGGTAAAAGAGGAGTAAGTACGGTCTTACTCATACTCATCCCCCAGCAACCGCTGCGACTCCGCGTCATTGTCCTGGCTTCCATATCAAATGCAAATATGTCTGGGTCTGGAAGGTCGCCACTTTTGTCATGCATATTTTGCGTGACCCATGATGTCTGTAATGCATGCCGTAGCATCACAGATTTTTAGAGGGCTTCCTGATGCCTATTCCGCATGAGAGATACCGTCCCCGCGTAGCACAAACTGGACCTTGCTGGTCATGCAATACAGATTTTTTTTGGAATCCAAAAACAGCATCACAAGTTGCAACATTCCGGACCCAGACACTTTTGCATTTGATATCCCAACAGAAGAGGACTGCTTGCCGTTTCTGCGCTGCTTCAGAGAGGAACTTCCCGGCGTGCTGTTAGGACCCGCGGCACCGTGGTCAGCATCCCCCCCGCCGCTGCCCCCGCCAAACGCCAGCGGCGTGATCGCCTCAATTTCGATTTCCCCGGCTTCTTCCGCCTTCACTTTCCTGACCGGCATGTTGACCACAGGAGGTCGCCTCGAGTGCACACCGGTCATTTGCCGCTGGTAGGCGGAGGTCCCCGTCATGTCCTCCGATTGTAAAAACTCATTCGAGTACGGGTGTCCTTCGTCGTGGATGTAATTCGAATTCCGGACAAAGTGCGACTCGCCGAACTGGTCCACGAACATCTCCGGTTTGTCTTCCATCTGCGAAACCCGGAAATCCCTCCGGTTGTCCTCCTCCTCCTGCTCCCAAACGTCCATGTCTTCGTGCCGTTTTTTCGTGATTTTCCCGCACCCGCAGCCGCCGAACCGGTTAATCAGGCACATCCAAATACTGAAGACGACGAGCAGAAAAACGATGTGCACCACCATGAAGAGCCACTGCCACCAGGTATTGCGCCACACGTTGTAGCCGGAATTCCAGTGGTAGACCATCGGCTGCGCCACGTCGCCCACATTGAGGGTGTTCATGGGATCCGGAAGCACCGGCCCCACAGCTCCTGCCGAGGTAAAAGTACCACCCCCACCCGCCTGGAACTCGATAAAGGAGCCTGCATGTTGTTGTTGGCCGGAAGAACTATGCTCGTGCAGGAACTGGCCGCTGGAAAACAAGTTTGTTGAAATTCCTTGGTCCGAAGTGGGGGAAGAAGATGCCATCAACGCTGTATTCCCGCCGCTTCCAATAACGGCGAGCGTCTGCTGCTGGTGCTCTTGGGCCACAACATCTTGGCTGCCGACCAGGAGCTGCTCCGCAGCGGAGGCCGCCAGGTTGCGGAGCTTCTTCTCCACTTCTTTGATGATCATGATTTTCAATGCGGTTTGGTACTGAAAAATTTGTGCGGAAATCAAACAGTTAGAGTTATCGCCGTACTACCGAGTCTGTTTATGCGATAGAAAAATCTCTAGGTACCGGTGGAAAAAATTTAGCGCAATAGGAAAAGGTTGGTCCTAGATGTCTACTACACATGCAGCTAACGGGAGCTGCGATTGTCAAATCTTAGTCCTGCAGGAGTAAGCAGACTTCGACCTGTAGGTATCATGTATGAACTTTTGGTAGAAATGATATGGAGAAGACTTTAGAGGATTCGGTTCCGTAGACCCCCGAATTTGGGTGTAGTTCAAAACATTCATCATAAATCCTTACCACCAAAACCGATCGCGCTTGCAATTCGCGAGAACCGATACTCACGTGGCCGTCTGGGGCACTGATATCGGCAAACCGAACAAACTGCAAGGATCAAGATGGCACAGAAAAACCGACTCAATCAGCATGACGCAGGACACGACCGATCAATCAAATTGAGAGTACCGAAGAAACCGTGAATCATGACGGACCGAGAGGAGAATAGGAATAAGTAAATCGAGTAGTACTACACCGAAGATTTCGACACCAACATGCATGCGAGTACAGACACCTCCATCGGACAAATGGGTCATGGTGATAGAAGCAGCATCAATTTCGTTTCTTTCAGATTTATATTCTGCTTTAATTATTTCAAAAAGTCAAAACTTTTTTTTTGGTACAAGTTCATTCTCCAAGTCTGCGTAAAAGGATCTCAATTTTCTCAAACTTCTCCGCTTTGATGTTCCTTTGCGACCGCGAAGGGCGCGCTTTTATTCCCCTCTTCATCATCGGGCTTTCCGCCTTTCCGACGAAAAAATGCGGACTCTTTGTCAATCTTGAACCTAAAAACTCTGGTATTGAAACTCTGCTTATACCTCAAAGATTGCGTAGAACCTCTGAATATAATAGTATAAAACTTTGGTTTTAATTTTGCGTATACTGATCTTGAAAAGTGTTTGGTTAAATTTTGCGTAACAGCGTCGTGAACAGTACTAAACAACGCAATACAGGCGGTAAGTAAGTAGTTCTCCTACTTCTTTTTCCCCTTCTTTCCTTTTTTCTTTTTTCCTCCTCCAAGCGCCTGCTCCAAAGCCTCGTAGGTCGATTGGGAACACCTCTCGGGCACCTGGACCTCCTTCAAATGGGACAAACCGATCATGCCGTGAATCAGTTTTTGCGCGCCCACGTCCGATATCTGGTTGCCGACCAACCGGTAGACTTCGAGAACTGTGATGAAATTTTTTACTCAGTTAGAGTACAGTAGTCGAAGATCCTCGTGATGGTGATGCATGCCATCTGTGCTGTGAGAAAGCCCTTCACTAGTAGTAAGTAGTGTGTGTAAGTACTAACAACAGAAACACTCCTGCAACGAAAAATGAAAAACAATCAAGATACGCATGTTGTTCTGGAAGCAGTCCAGCAGGACGTCGAGTATTTCGGGTTTTTCGGAAAATTTGTTGTCCGCTAGGTCGAGAAGTTTCAGCTTTTGATTTCTCCTGACGCCCTTCAACAGCGCAAGCGCCCCCACTATGCATTGCAAAAATGTCTGGGTCTGGAAGTTTGTCATGCAGGACAGACATGATAGAGACTTCGCAAAACCTCTCATGCTAGGTGCTGCATTGCAGACCTCGGGGGGCATGAAAAACATGCATGACAAGTTTGCATTCTTCCAGACCCAGACATTTTTGCATTTGATACCCACGTCGCCCAGTTCATTACCCCGTAAGAGAAACTGCTCCATTTCTGACTTCTGGTACATCAGTATCGTCGCTAGCGGAGCAGTATCCATTGTAAATATGTATCTGGGTCTGGGAGATGATTGCGACAAGGTTTGTCATGTTACTCTAGCATGAGAACTCTGAGCTCTGTATATTTGTGTGGCCGCGCAAAGCTCATCTTGCCTGTCATGCAGCAAAAACGCCATTTCTCACGCGGAGTACACAACTCGAAACCACGTCATGCTTGGCAGCGCATTACAGTCGTGTGCTCCCTCGTTATTCCCTTCCTTGCATCACAAGTTAATATTTCCAGACGCAAACAAATATTTGCAAGGCATAAGCGCCACCCTGCGGCCCGATTGCGCAGTATTGGACGGACAGGGCACGGAGGAACTGAATTTTTGGTTTTGCTTTTTGTCATGCAGCCCCCGCAACACGAACACGAACGCATTCTGTCATGCCGGCACACATAAAAAATCAATGATTTGCATTTCTACTTATACGTGATTCTGTGCCAGCCCGACCGCTAGCTTCTCTACGCCCTTTGCTCCTATGTGGTTGTAGTCTAGCCTCAAGTAGCTTACTGGCGGTACTAACGCTAATTTTCCCGCTACTCTCTCGCGCCCGCCGAGGGCCATACCTGGTTAATATTTTTCTTCGGTTTTGAAATGAATGTCGCGGCCGTGATTTCACGACATAAACGGCATAGAGTACTTTTCTTTCATAGGTCAAGGTCGTTTCTGCTGTGCATGATAAACAAAAGCAACAGTAGCTACTACCGATGAATTCGCAGCCTAGGTCTGTGACATTATTGTCCGTAAACTGCAGATCCTCCACCACTACGCCGTTTGGTGACTCTAGGTAGTCGCAAACCGCCCGCACAGATTCATCGCCCTTAGGGTCGCACTTCCACAGACGCACATTCGAAATTTTCTTGTACCTGTATGAAATTCACTTGTGGTTTGAACCTCCATGCGGTTGTTGCAATAATGACATTTATCATATGAGAGATGCAAAAAATGATAGATTTAGACTCTGTCTTGCAGCAGGATGATAGCATAACTACAAAAAAGTAGCGGTTCTCACTGAAGATGACTTTACTCTGCTTCCCTCAGACTGTGCATGAGTATGTTGAAGCCCATGGAGTCTAGTGGCTCGGTGAAGTTCCATCTTATCTGCATGGGGTCCATGCCCTCGTCAAAAAAGCCTAATATCTTCTCCACGTCCGGTGCAGGTTTTAGGCCGTACCTGTGGTTCGCAAAAATGAAACAAATCATGGCCGTGACTAAAGGGTTTGGTGTAGAATGGTGCAGCATGTGCATCATTGTAGTATCAGTATGTCACAACCAAAAGTGCCAGGTCGGTGTTCTGCAAAATAAATGACATCATTCAGAAGCACCAGTATATGATCAATACTGCTTCATGGCCTTCTGGTATATCCTCTGAAAGGCCTCCCATGTCTCATCCTCTCCGCCGGCTGCTGCGGCCTTTGGCTTCGCTTTCGGTGGCATGTTCTACGAACTTGGCCGCTTTGTGTAGGAACTTCTTCTACAACAGGAGGTCTACAACCGCCGCCCGTTCTTCCGGGTATTGGAACTGCTCAACAACCAGCAGCACGTCCTCACTTCTGCACCGGTCGTGGTGGCTGCTTTTGTTCCTGACCTACACTGCGCAGTTCGTTGTGCTTGGAAGAAACTTATCAGCTGATGGACTCATTGTTTTTTAAAATTCTTCTTGCCACGGCCGCACAAGCCGTGCGGCGGACAAAAGTGTATTATAAAACCTGTTTGTCTTTTTCGCAGCACTGCAAAATTTCTTTCTGTTGATAGTTGGAGTAGTACTCACATATGATGTATCAGGTGAAGGACCTGGTCGTGCCTGTGGACCTAAAAACGATGTTTTTGCTTTATCTCGAGCGGAAGCAGTAGCGAAAGACACAACTACGACGAGAAACAAGCTCGTGAAATCCAAATCTTCCCTCGGTGAATAAATTCAAAATCAGCGCTCAGATGTACTAAGGTCCTTGCTCGTGGAGTTCGAAAATTTTTTCCTCTGTAATCATCGATCCTCTCCCTCGACGACCTCGGATTTTTTCAACTACGCCGATGAACTACTAGAACACAATAATGAGAAGTATTTAGTCCGCGTCTGCCACTGAAAAATGGTTATCGTCACGGCCGTACTCTTTTCGAAGATAATCGCACCAGCTCTAGTGTTGTACTAGACCGTATGAGTTGATATTGTCGCTTGAATTGTTAGGGATAGGAGAATAATCGGGAAACGCTGTCGCTTTGCCAATCAGCCGGTGTTTTGCTGCTCGAGTGCAACATCATGAGGCGCAGCACGGCTTTGCATTTGAAGCTGCAAAGACCTCCTCGTCGTTTCGTTGCTTGAAGGAAGAATAAACTATCACTTTTTGTCGCTTCGAGAACTTACGCTCCGCCCTTCCTCCCCTTCTTCTTCTTGCGTGAAGAGGACACAGTCGGGCTTATTTTGGGCTCCTTGACCTTCTGTTTCTCTTCGTTTTTTCCCGCCACCTCCTGCTTATCATCATCACAGTACGCAGGATCCGGCTTTGCCCCCGGGTATCGAAACCCAGGACAGAAATTCGTCTCGCCGCAGATGGCGAACGGGACCGAGCGCCCGATAGAAGCTGCTGTGGGTTCATCTTTTATCTCGGAATTATGAATACCCGATGGTCCATCAACTGTCGTTTCATCCTCAACTACTGGAAGAACCTCGTTTACCTGCAGGTGCAAGTGCGGCGTCGGCGTGAACCCCGCTTGCCCCGACGTGCCAATCTTCTGCCCAATCGAAACTTTGTCACCGACTTTGACGAAAATTTTGTCCAAGTGCACGTACTCAATGCGGTACTGTTTATTGGATAAAAATTTCGGAGAAGAAGGTGCTGGCGACAATTCGACAGATGTAGTTTTTGAGCATGTAGGATTTGCATTTTTGCCAGGACCTGCAGAACAGCTCCTCCTGGACGTCTGCTCATCTACACAGCCAAAACTATAATTCTTGCTATCATTCCCCGTGGCACCGCCGTCAAACTGGATTGCGATCTCGTTCCATTTCCACAGGTTCCGCACGTGTGGCCCGCAGAACTTTTCGTTTCCTCCCCGGACCTCCACAATTGTTCCGTTTACCAGGGAAACCACCTCCGTCCCAACTTCGGCGTCGATATGCATTGCAAATATGTCTGGGTCTGGAAGGTTGGAACTTGTAAAAATGCTAACTTTCCATACCTAGGAATTCTGTATTGCATAGCAAACAAAAGTCGCGGCCTCTTTTGTACATGCAAGAACGCAGTTTCTCATGCGGATTGCCTATGAGAAAGCGTTCTGGAAAGTTGTCATGCTGGGTTGCATTCGGAACTGTTTCTATCATCCACATTTTAGCATCACAAGTTTCCATACCCAGACACTTTTGCATTTGATAGTCGAAGTCCACCGCATAAAAGGTCGACGGGTCCTGGCCGTGGGTCAGGGTTCCGCCGAAACCCTGGCTGCACGGGAATCGCTCTACTTCTTTTGCTTGTATGCATTGCAAATATGTCTGGGTCTGGAAGGTTGCAACTTGTGATGCTGGCTTTGGATTCTAAAAAAGATTTGTATTGCATGAACAGCAACAGAGGTGCAATTTTTGCTACGCGGAGAGGGCTTCCCTCATGCGGTACGAGCATCAGAAAGCCCTCGCAGAATCTCTGATGCTACAGCATGCATCACAGACCTCATGGGTCATGCACAATCTGCATGACAAACTCCTGCACTCTTCCAGACCCAGACATTTTTGCATTTGATAGCTTGCGCAGGAGTGCTATTTGATGAGCGGCGGTCAACTACATTGCCTTCCTGCAATTCCACCGCCTGGAGGGAATCGGAATGACAATGAAGATCTTCTGGAGAACTACTACCTCTCCGTCTCAGCGGAAAGACCGGAAAATCAAATCGGCAGTCGGTGAGAACTCGTTTCGGAGTTGTGTTGTACTGGCTTTTGTCGATTTGTTTCTGAAAGGAAATGTTGGTTTCGATTTGGACATCCGGTGCAAGGGTGTAAGGCGGAGGGGAAAACTCATCCTCGTCAGACTCCACCTCCTCCTCCTCTTCCTCCGGAACTGAGGCCGGACTTCCAACAACCTTTGCCCCAAACGGCACCTTCCCGGTTTCTGCGAACGCTTCCAGCAAGTTTTCGTAGCGACCCGCAGGAGTGTTGGGAATGAAACCCGGGAACGCACAAACCTCGCAAATTGAAAACGGGGGCAGGTAGAGCACGAGGGTGATCACGGTGGAGGCTTTTATTTTTTTGGTCGATGTCATGATCATGTGCTCTGGCTTCCCCTCGACGTGGTCGATGTCAGGCCTGTCGTGCTCCCTCTCCTTCTCTACACCGGTATGATTTTCGTTTTCCTTGTCATTTTCTCCCTCTCCAGCAAGCAGAGCATCATCCTCTTCCTCAACCTGTGCGGGGCAGGACTCTAACAGGACATAGCCGCCGTCGAGCAGGTGTAAATTCTTATGACTTTCGCCCCCGAAAGAACTCTTTTCCGTTCTCCTTTTTGGCGGTCTTAACACCGCCGGCCAGTTGATAGGAAAATAGTTCTTGTCCTGCTGTTTCTCTCCAAAGAAGATCTCGTCGTCGTCCACATCTTTAGATACAAGAACGTCGGTACTACGGGAGGTGCCACCACTGCTGCACCTCCTAAAAATCTTCTCCCCCTTCTCGTCTGCTTGTCCACGAGCTCCGGGGAGTTGAAACGTGACGTGGAAGCAGACGTTCCTAGCGTGTTTGTTCACCACGTTGAAAATCCCGTCTTGAAACGCGTAATCAGGTAAAAGATCTGCGTAGTACCGTTCCTTTATTTCCGCAGCAGAAAAAGTAGTTCTACTTGGGTAGTTCCTCGTATCTTCTTCTTCCAGGAGGTCCACCTCTTCAATGGGGTACACTTCCTCCAGTCTTTCCGGGCGGCTGAGCGCCCAAGACGGATCTTTGTCGAAACAGAACCGCTCGATGTGCACCCCGGGCCAGCAGTGATTGGTTTTCAGAAACCGCGCGGGAGGAGGAGGAGTATTTCGGCTCGAACTTGAAGACGTCATTTTTTTTTGTGGGACGACAGGTTGTGATCAACTACAGGGTCCACCTGTACGTAGGTATGTTATGTTCATTTATCTGTGAATGAGCCCGGCGATAGATCATACCACCAAACCAAAAGCCGAAAGAACAAGCCTGTGCAAGAACAAAAGAATTTCACGTCGTTGGCATTAACACTAACATCTGCAACAAAATTTTGCTCTTGGATCTTTTTGAAAGTGCTACTTCGGCGTCGAGAGATTTTTTTCATCTGTGAAGATCCTCATGAAGAGCCATTTTCTTGATCCCAAATTTTCTAGGCGTTTTGCGTTTTTCGAGATACAGGTCCGGCAAGAACTGTAGGGGACCTACGCGGCTGATCAACGCAAAAATCGCAACAACAACACTGATCCTCAACCCTGATCTTACGAGCTGGCACGAAAAAAGGCATATCAATTGCCCAGGCTCGCTTAGTAGGCTATTGCTACTTCTTGCAGGTGGTGTCATGCAAGTTCTTCATACCAGAAAAAAGTTAAATGACAGAAGCAATTAATCTTTTCTTACCTGTTTTTCTCCCCGTCGGCGTCGAGACGCAACCACACATTGAACACTTTCTCTTGTAACACAGCAGACTACGACTCTCTCACTCAGACTACTTACACCAGTTTTTCTTTTTTATGACAATACTCTCTCATAATAATAATATGATTTGAATATAAGAGACTGAAGTGCCTCGGTATCAGTACAGCAAAACGGGAATAGTCAAAACCCCTGGTAGTGGTATAGTACAGCAAAACGGAATTGTCAAAACGGGAATAGTGCAGTGCAATAATCAAAACCCCTGGTAGGTCAGATAAAACAGATTTCGATCTGTGCGTTGCATAGTTTACGGAGAAAGGATCTATAAGGATAATCTATAAGGAGGCCACTTTGCCTCTTTGACTGCTTTTGAGTTTGAACTTTGTTTCCAAAAACAACTATACAGTACTTCTTTATCAAATTGTGGAAACAAGATAATCTTGTTTCCACCAGAACCGTAGCGATACACATGAAGATTCTTGCCACGCTGTGATAAAAGATTAGATCATACACGTAGAGACGTTTCGCGGGCGGCATTGCATTTGTGTGTGGCTTGGCTCGACTGCTTTTGAGTTTGAACTTTGTTTCCAAAAACAACTATACAGTACTTCTTTATCAAATTGTGGAAACAAGATAATCTTGTTTCCACCAGAACCGTAGCGATACACATGAAGATTCTTGCCACGCTGTGATAAAAGATTAGATCATACACGTAGAGACGTTTCGCGGGCGGCATTGCATTTGTGTGTGGCTTGGCTCGACTGCTTTTGAGTTTGAACTTTGTTTCCAAAAACAACTATACAGTACTTCTTTATCAGGTTGTGGACATAACTACGAGGTGTACAACAACAAATCAGGTTGTGGACAAGACTACGACGTGTTATCAGGTTGTGGACATAAGCAAAATCTATCCTCATACGATCACTACTCTATGCTCTCAACTTTCAACGTGAGAGTCCAGCCATTCCGATCCTCCCTGAAGATGGTTCCGCACACAATGAGGCTCGGTGCCTGGGGCAGAAACACTTGCTTCTCAACCTCGTCAAACCAGACACCCCCCAGCTTGTCCTTGTCGGCGTCCGAAAGCTCCACGCCCCCGGTCTCCACTACGAACGCGCTGTAAGAAATATGGCGCTCGCCCAGAAGGTAGATCCTCACTAAGGTTCCGAACGGGGCGCTCTCCGGATAGACGGCGGAAGTGGCCCGCAATGGCTCGCGCACCAGCGCCTTTTCCAAGAGATGCAGAAAATGCCGAAAGCTGTCATCTAAGGGTGGGGAGGCCGCCGCGACTCCAGCGTTACTTCCTCCTGTTTCGACATCATTGCTAGTCTCCATGGAGCGGCTCCTCTCCGTGGTCGCTCTGAGGACCGCACCGGGCTCGACGTAAGACAACAGCTGCGTCGCGAAACCACGAGGGGGCGCCACATTTCGGAAGAGGCGACTAGCACGGCGAAGCTCCACAGGGTGCAGCAGCAGCTGGTAAAACGGTTTCCAGGAGTGTTCCTCGAGATGCCTAATCCTGTTAGGTTTTCTGGAGCTTCCCTGGTTCTCGTACTCATCCTCGCCGTCATCGTAAATACTCTGCGGTCGTCCTCCGGGCACCAGGGTGTCAAAAATGGCGTGCAGCGGAAACTCGAGATAAGAACAAACATGGGCCACTATAGAGTCACAATCTGGAAGAGAGACGCCGGGTTCGCGGCCAGGATCCCGCACCGTGGCGAGGCACGGACCTGCGAAACAGAAAATGCTGAAGAGCAACGGTCGGAAAGACATCATTGCGCGCGCTTTGATGCTAGAATGAAAGGTTGCTGATGGTGTGTCTCCTCAAGAAAAATACTTACCTGCACCAATCACGAAAAGTGAATGATTGCGAAAATTTTTACTAAAATCACGCGAACTCTTTTAGTAGGATTGTGATATAGATTCATGCTCTTTGATCTCTTTGAAAGTGCTCTTTCATCTGCAACAAGATCAGGCTCTTTGATCTCTTTGAAAGTGCTACTCCGGCGTCACGAGATTTGATGTTTCTGTGAAGATCATCACGAAGGTCCATTTTGATCTCCATCTTTGCTACAACCGTTTTCGATCCTAAATCCTTTTTGCTAAAATTTTCATCCAGTCATCCGTCTTTTGAGCACCAGTATGGCTTCAGCAGAAAAAGGACTTCGCTGCGACTCAACAAAGGATTTAAGATCAATCTCCATCGGCTCCTGTGGCGTAAAAATCCATATCGGGTTTCGATCCAGAAGATCAAGATCCTGCTTTCGGATGGGAAAGAACTTGGCGGGGGGGCACTGCTGCAGTGACCGACTTTTTCTTCACTAAAAATGAAGGATACTATACAACACGATGTCAGTTGCACAAGAACCCCGATGCAGCTGTGCAGCACAGTAGAAAGGAAATTATTTCTCTCTGCGGATCATGTGTTAATCTCCTCGCAGGTCCGACGACGATGCTGTAGTTGTCGAGACAGCACCTTGTTTCTTTGGAAAATAAAGCAGTTCTTTGAGCTTTTGGTTAAGTACTCGGCACCACCGCAGGCTAGACCTGTTTATGTTTTACTATTTCGACATGATCAAAGCGGCTTTCCCATGAGCATGGCAAACCCCATGGCGATGCCGCCGTACACCACGAACCCCGCGTGCACCGGCTTCACCCACTGTGGCAGTTGCCGATACGTGGTCTGCGTCAGGAACGGCACTCCCAGCTGATTGTAATGCACGCCCACCGCTCCGAGTAACCCCCCGGCGTAGAAGTTGTGGGACGCAGACCGTCGGTTCGTCAGCGCTTCCAATGGACACTGCAACGCTTGGTAGAGGTAGCAGCCCCCGAAAAAAACGCCGGCGCGGCGGGCCGTTATTGGCGTCTGGTTCTGGGTATCAAATGTAAAAATGTCTGGGTCTCGAAGATTGCAACTTGTCATGCCAAATCCGAATCATGCAGAAATCTGTGTTGCATCAGTGCCAAAAGCTGTCCACTTTCGACCAAGTTTCTTTGGAGGGAGTTTCTCATGCAGGATTGGCATGACAGAGACTTCGCAAAACCTGTCATGCTAGGTCGTGCATTCCAGACCTCATGGGGCATGGAAAATATGCATGACAAGTTCGCATCCTTCCAGACATCCAGGGATTTTTACATTTGATACTGGGAGTAATCGAGCAGGAGGAGCAGCCCCGCATTATCAAATGCAAAAATCCCTGGATGTCTGGAAACTTGTGATGCTGGGGGGCGTATCATGAAGAGGCCACAAGTGCTGGCTCAGCATGACAAGTTACTGAGCTTATAGGTGTTGCCTATTCTGCATGACAAACTGCGTTTCTGCATCACAGAAAAATGGAGCTCTTGGGTAACGTGCATGACAGGTTTAAGAGTCATGCCAGACAAGCATGACAAACATGCATTTTTACATCTCATACGCATTGACCAAACCCGATTTCCCCGCCTCGAAAGAACAGGCGACATAGTCGAAGCTGGAGCCGCTGGAAGATCTACTTAAAACGGTCATTTTTATCCTCTAGCAAACATGATTCAACACCTGCACGATTGCAAATAATAATAAACACCCAAGACAAGAAGAAATAAATATGCAGTCCAGCTTAAACTTACCAATTTTAAGAGGGCGATTGTAGTGAAAGCGAGGAATAAAGCAAGCGTCTCCTAAAGCGTGATTGTCTGGCATACTGAACTTCAGGCGGGCGCGCATTGAAAAAAAAATCCAAATAAGGAAGTGAAGTAGTCACTTATGTAAAAACAGATTGAGAAGCCTCAGGCACAAGCACGAGAAGCACAGGGAAGTACATTCTCCAGAACGGTACGCGCTGAGGCCTAGAATTATTCGTAGTAGCATCGTGATTGGGGTCAGACCTTGCGCATGTGCCCGGGCGTGGTGCCCTCGTGGAACGGCTTTTTTCACACTGCGGGAATATAAGTATTTTATTGGCCTACGCGCGCCATACCATGCGGGTTGGCCCTTCGGAGTCTTCTGGTTTTTGCTTTTGTCTTTTACTAACATCTTTCCGGAATCCCGGGATTTCCGGAATCCCGGGATTTCTCGTGAAACTGGTGAAAATGTGAAAAAGTTGCATTCTTTTGACTGCTAATCACGACGGTGTGCACTCTTTTTCACGAGTATTTTCACCGTGAAAAAAATCGTGAAAAAACCTACGGACTGCGTCGCGAAACGCGATGCTACGGGCCTTGTTTTCGGAATTGGTTTGTCCTGCTTTTCCGCGATATTTCGCGAAAGCCGCGCAGCCGAATCACGACGGCATGGCCCTTTTTTCACGATGTGTCTCGCCGTGACACAAATCGGATCAAACGCTGCGACTTTATGTCGAATCCCAATGGTATAGCGCCTGCGCCCGGAATTGGTTTCCGTGGTTTTTCGCGACCGCCGCGCCTGGGAGTCGCGACGGTGCGGCCCCTGTTTCACGGCGCGCCCCCCCTTGCAACGCTTCGCGCCAGGCTTGTGGCTTGCATCGATCGCGCTAACCCGCACCACGGCGCATGTCGGCAGTCTTTCCGTTGCGCGCCCGGGCGCGTGTCTACTTTTTCCGTGGTGGCCCTTGCCGGCGCGGGCCAGGGTCCGCACGCTCTAACAGCACGGCTTCGACTGTTCGGCGCGCGCACTGCGTGCCCTGGCACATGTGGGCGCCAGCGCTTGGGGGCAATATTTTTCCGCGCGCGTAGTACGTGCGCCGGCGCATGTGGGCAGTATTCCCCACCACAGTGTTGGGCTTTGCCTGTCGCGTGGAATGCCTCTCAGGTTCTTGCGTGTGCCTTCGCCTTTCGCTTGGGTTCTGGTTGGCTGTCAGTGCGCCGCCCTGGCGTATTGACAACCAACCAGAAAAGGTTGTCGCTCTGGCGTATTGACAACCAACGAACACAAAAGTCAAGCGGTCTCCCTAACCAACATGGACACCAGTGACAGCCCAACAGGGCCGCTGCCCCTAATTCTTGCAGAGGCCCCCCGCCCGCGCAGGCCGCCCCCGCCGATCACCTCGGCACGGACGCGCGGGCAGCATTTCCACGTCGGCGGCCGCAGGCAGCGTGTCCAACTCTGTGCCCGCCGTCCCGCGTCACCGTCGCCGTGTGTTCAGGCGTTATGCGCGGGCCTTTGCGTACGTCTGCGCGCCGTGCTCCAGCCGCGTATTTGCGGTTGTTTGACCCCGCGCAGAGGCCGCGGCGGCGCTACTGGTTGCGCCAGCCGCGTATTTGCGGTTGACCCCGCGCAGAGGCCTCGGCGGCGCTACTGGTTTACTTCAGCCGCACGGGGCCGACCCATGAATGTGCTGCCACTTGGGAGGGGCAGGGCAGGGCGCCAGCGCGAGCTCCCTGCCTGCGGCAGTGGGGGTGAATGCGGGGCGGGCCCCCGCGGCGTTTCCCCTGTTGCGGGCGCGGGGCGATGTACGCGACAGGAGCCCTTGCGAGTGGGAAAGGAAGTCGAGGGACCCCCTCGAGCGCCAGGAGTGAGGGGCGGGGGCCCCCTGCGGGCAGGAGAGAAAGGTGGGGGGGCCCCTTGGGCACCAGAGGTGGGTTCCAGGAGTCCGGGGCGGGGGCCCCCTGCGCGCGGGAGAGAAAGGCGGGGGGCCCCCTTGGGCAGCAAAGGTGGAGGCTGGGGGCCCCCTGCGGGCGGGAGAGACTTACCGCGGAGAAGGACGGGGGCCCCCTTTGACCTCCGGCGGGCGACCCGGGAGAGGAGCGGGGGCCCCCTGCGGAGGCGGGATGCCCAGCGGGCGAGAGGGCGGGGGGCGGGGGCCCCCTGTTTCACCAGGAGGGCGGCCCGGGTGAGGAGCGGGGCCCCCCTGCGGAGGCGGCAGGCGGAAGGGCGGGGGCCCCCTGCGGACGCGGGGTACGCAGCGGGTGAGAGGGCGGGAGGCGGGGGCCCCCTGCTTTCCCCGACGGTATGGCCGACGCAAAAATAGTAACCCTCATCGTAGCATCGTGATTAAAACTCTAGGCCTCAGCGCGTACCGGTCTCTCTTGTGTCGTGAAAAGTCCGGCTAATGACGTAGCCTCACGATCTTTACTATTTCGCCATGCATTCCATCGCACGGAAAAAAAATGGTGTTTTCCTTCTCCTTTTCCAGCTGTTCGTTGAGCGATTGAATTGAACGAGAAACGGGAATACAGCAGTGCTAATTTTTCTTTTTGTCAACAAGAATGCTCATTGAACAAAACTGCAAGAAACACAGTTCGACATCGATCTTCCCCGAGACCTGCGCCGTCGGAGCAATCATTCTTTTATTTCTTCCGCTCGCGTAGTTGTAACGAATATATTGCAATAAAGTCATTCTACTTCCACCAGCGTACGAGCGCATTGTCATAGTGCTTCTATGTTCATCGGGAAACAACAAGTGACTTTTGTTCATCACAATCGAAACGCCCTCCAGCAAATCATCACACAGAGAGAAAACGAGAAGCAATAATTTCCGATTCACATTCAATCATTTTTTCCGACATTGAAAAAACAAACAATACAGTAGGTTGAAAACAAACAAAGAAACGCCGTCCCTAGTACCCAGGTACATCTGGCGCCGGAGTGGTGCGCTTTACCTTTGTTCCTTGCCCTTTGAGAAGTGAATTTCCTAAAACTACACGTAGCACTTACCTCCTTCATGCTCCTCAAGAAGAGGACGAGGACCTGATCCCTTTTGATATTGCGAAGACATCTAAGTAAGTACATGTGAAAAAACAGACTTTCTACTTTTTCTACGTCGTATGATAGATAGACTGCAAAGGCATCAATCGCGGACGCTGAAGCCGCGCCGTGATGCGAAATACGGCACAGAAGAGAAAACTTCTATGGTTGTGGGTGATAACATAAATTCGGTAGAGTTCAGTACAGCAGTAAAATTTTCAACCTATTTCACCTTGGGTAGTTCGACCCCGCCGTCCCTGGCACGAAGTCGAAACTACGGTGTAGATAACCAATCCAATTTAGTACAACCATGCCTTTAATTTTACCGGCCTCCAATCAGTATCAGATTTCGATTTGTAAAAACGCAACCACGCATAACAATCAGCGGCGACAATTTGTAGTCTTGCTCCTAGTACTTACTTACTTCACCCGCTATCTATGGTCGCTTTTATTCCCCCGCTACTTGTAATACCGTGGCTCTTTCACCACCAGCATCTCCTCCGGTAGGATCGACCGCAGAAAGATCGTGACGTCCTTGTGCGCCGAGGTGACAAACCTCTATGCAAGAAAAAAACGTTGTTAGTATAAATCTGTGATGCGCAATGTGCCAATTGATTGCGCCTGTCATGCTGGGCCTGCATAGCGGGGCCCATTCAAGGGCGTTTTCCCGTACTATCCGCGCATGACAGGTTTTTGCTGTGATGCGAGAGATATTTGTCATGCTAATCCTCCAAGAAAGTTACACATACAATGTTTTTTTCTTGGATAACCTCCTCTCCGTGTTTAGTAACGCTACCATGGTGTTCAGAACGTCCTTTGCCTTGTCCGTGTGCAAGACGTTCTGATCCAGCAACGGTTTCCCCGCCTCCTCCGGGTCTTCAAGGGGTAATCCCGTGTAGGTGTCGATTTTTTGCTGATAGGTGATCGCGTCAAGCAGGATACTGACGGCTAATTCCAGCTTCTTCTCAAAAATCTCCTTCACTTGCTCCGCGGTCTTCTTTTTGGGCTTGCGCTTAGGAGGCGGCGGGGGCTCCGGGTTTTCGTCGCGCTCTGGCAAGTCCTCGAAATGATCTTGGACAACGTCAGACCTTTTTGTTTTTGTTTTTGATTTTCAAAAAATGCATGATGAACATCAACATGAGGCGACCAGAATCAAATACAAATATCATGCGCGGACAAAACAGGAGCTATTTTTATTTGAGTAGGTGTAAAAACTCTGGTCAACATCATGTGTACTTTTCAAAAAATAAGTCCTCTCATCAAGAAGAACATACCGTTCCTTAAACCCCTTGGCTTCCTGACGTGCGATTTCCGCGGCTTCTATCAAGATGAAAAATCCCCCCACCCCATATCGAAAAGGAGATCTGTGATGCTGATCGGATTTGTCTTGCAGCGAAGGACTGCAGGCAGATATAAAGTCTGAGCATGGTGTTTTCGTGTAGGCGCCTAGCAAGGCAGGCGTGTCCTCTGTAGGCCATACAGCATTACAAATTGCCTGCAAAGTGCGGCGATGCGTCTGGATTTGGCTTCTTGCAATACAGAGACGATTTGTGGTCACTAATCAGCATCACAAATCTTCAGAAGTGCCCCTTTTTGGTATGGGGAGGGGAGATTTTTCCTCTCAATAGCTTCGTTGCTGACCCCCGACTGCGGTTTTTCGGGCAGCAGCGCCTCCAGGTTGAGGAGTCTGTCGTCGAAGAACAGCCGGCCAAACGCTTTCAGACAGGTCGTAAAGCAGCTCCGCGTGAACCCCTCCAACACCGTGCTGGTGGCGTTCTTCTGCAGTTTCGCCCACAAATCGTAGCAGGACCGGACGACTTTTCGGTCCACAAAGCCGCGCTATCAAATGCAAATATGTCTGGGTCTGGAAGGTTGGAACTTGTAATGCTGGTTGTCCATTATACCTCGGGAATCTGTATTGCATAGCCAACAAAAGTCGCAGCCTCTTTTGTACATGCAAAAACGCAGTTTCTCATGCGGATTGCCTATGAGAAAGCGTTCTGAAAAGTTGTCATGCTGTGTTGCATTCGGAACTGTTTATTCCATCATCCACATTTTAGCATCACAAGTCTTCAGACGTCCAGGGATATTTGCAACGCATACGCGCACTTTATAGACGACGGAGAAGTCGCGGAGGAGAATGACCGCGGAGCAGCCGTTATGCAATGCAAAAGAAGTATTTTTGCACTCGTACTTCTAATCGCAGTCATGCAAGACAAAAAATATTTTTCAAGCTCAAGCAGCATGACAAATTCCGTTTGTCATGCTGAGCTAATTTGTATTGCAAAAATATTACGAGTACGATTTATACTTTTGCAATGCATAGCCGTTGTCGCAGTAGTCCACCACGTTGCTCTCCTCAACCTTGTGGCT